TCCAAGTGTTCCAAACTATATAGCTCTTTGCGTTCCAGGTGCGACCTTTAATCCTGTCCTGCCATGTGTGATCATTTGCAATGTGCTTCGCTGCCGTTTTCAGCAACTCTCTCATCCCAACCTGCGCGCCTTTGCGGCGCGCGTCTCCTCCCCTGCGATGGCTGGAAGTGCCTGTGTTGCATTGGTCTGGCAGTATCTTCTTCAATTCTGATCTTAAAGCTGGCTTAGCTTGCGAAATGAGAGCAGCACGAAGACTACAATTGTGGGCTTGCAGCCCGTGCTCGCAGCATAATTGTGGCTAGGGCCATGTGTTTGATGCGTTTCCTTGCCGTACTGATTCTGCGCAGGTATTTTGTCACGCTCCTTTACGCCAGCAGCCTGAAAAATAGTCTATAACCGCATCCAAAGCCATGTCGTGGCAGTTTGGAAGTTCAGGTTGTGTAGCTTGTCAGCTGCCACTCCTACTACCGTACGTCTCCTCTTACGTATACGCTTTGTCCTTACAGGAACACTAGTAAGTACTTCTTCCCGCCCCTCAGGCGACAGGTGCAGCCATGCTGTTAATTAGGCGTAAGATCCGCCGAGGCCCCAAACCGTAGCAGTATGGGGAGCGCAAAGCAGGTACCCGACCTCAAATCCGCGCCCCCCGCCCGGGCCCCCGCCCCCAGACTCACCTCTACCGGGCTTGTTTTTCTTGTTTTACTACTCCAACATTTTGGGGTGCCTGGTATACACATGAGCCGATTTAACAGGGAATGGCAGCACCTTCACACCGGCGATCACCGGTTTGGGTTGATTCACCGCGGGGCGGGCCCAGGCTGCCGCGGGTCGCGTAGCGTTCAAATTAATCAGCACACATCATAACGGCTCAAAGTTCTTAAGCTGTGAGGGCGCCGTTCCATTCATGAGGATTTCATATATATATATATATATATACATAAACCAGCATTCCTGGACGTGCTGGAGTGATGTCGACGACACGCCAGGAACACCAGATCCCTACGAAATGAGTGAAATGAGTCACACACATGATCGCAGCAACATGTCGGTGATGACCCCGACCATGATTCCCATGTATTCTGTGAACCAATGCGGAGCTGCACCATGCATGATGCTCGTGCCTGTGGCATCCAACAGTATGCAAAACTTCAACTTCAATTTCCAGCAGTCATCTGGGGTGCAGAATGTTTCTGAAGAGTAGTTCCGCATGTTGGGCCGGCCCATGGCGTGCAGCATGTCAACATGTGGCAAGTGCCACGAAGAACAACTTTCAACGGCAAGTGTGCCCAGAAGCGCCTGGGCCAGAAGCCCGAGCGAAGCTTGAGCAAATCGGTTCCGCTGCACTTACCATAGTAGCCTCATGTAGCCCCGCAGAGCCCTGCTTAAGCCCTGCTCTGCTTCGCAAAAACTCGACCCGACAGTTTTGGGGTTGGAAATGAGAGCCTCCTCCAGCTGCTTGAAAAACCCAAGCGCACGGCCAGCCATGCAACTAACCTCTGCATTACATACTTTGCATGGCTGCGGGCCTATATGCTACAACATGCTGCGAGCTGCCCACCTATCATCACAGCAGCTTGTGCACCTCGGACGACAGCAACGAAGAATTGCGAAACTTCTGTAGACCATCGTATAGTGTTGGTAGGCTCCGTAGCAAAGTCACCTCGCAAGCCACATGCGAAGTCCAGCGCTGCAAGCAAGCGCATGATGTCACCCTTTGTACTACCCCAAGCCATGTTCGCCAGAAAAAAACCACGCCAAACCTAGCATCAATTCGCACCGGCGACCTTGCGATTAGATCTGCAGCATGTACAAGGGCACCAGCAGCTTGGGATTGATGTTGTTGGCCGAGGTTGGCTTATGAGCAGCTGACATCCTCTCAGCAACGTGCATGTTGGAAGTGCAAGAGTCAGCTTGCTGGCTTTGCCGGTAGAGTTAGAGAGCGTTCCCATAGCCGTGCAGCTGGAATACGGTGAACGCAGAAATCTTGAGAGAGTAGAAACGCCGGACATCCGAAATGAACAGAGCGTTCAAGCCCACAACTCTCCGGCAGTGCAAAGGGCGAGTGGCATGGACACATGCAAACTCACGATCCCAGTTGTTGTGCAGCAGCACGGCATGTGGCTAGGTCATGCTCTTTGAAGGCATCATGCGGACCACACGCCTGACTCTGAGATGTTTCGTGTGCCAGCACAACCGACGTGCAACTGGGACATGAAGCCTGGGGGGCGCGCTGTGCCAAGGTGACACACGTACGCGTGGTGAGGTGGTCTCATGATGACTCATGTGCCAGAGAATGCACGGAGACGTTTTGCAACGAGAGGCCGACTTCGTCTGTCGCTGGCTCCGGAACTATGGTCAGACGTACAGCAGCATGGCGCCGGACCTCAAGTTTGAACCACGCCGGCAGTGAAGCTCTTGCCGCTGTTGCTCTCAAATGTGATACAACGTACGTCGGCAGAATCTCGGGTCGCATGCAGTTTGCGCATGCGATTCGCGTGCCTTGATGGGATTGCCTCGAGCCTGCTCCTTTCGAATTTCCGAATTTGAGAGAAGAGCAGCATCCTTGAAGAATGTTCGGCGCCACATACTGCACCCGTTTCATGGTGTACTTGTGGAGACTTTTCGTATAAGATGGACAGTTGAGAACCCATTCCCGGAGGGAGTGCGGAGCTCAGCCGCAGGCATGCCACTGACAAGTCGTTTGGGTAGACTGCAGTAGCTGCGCAGGAGAATCGGATAGATGTGATGGGTAAAGTGATGTAGAGCGTAGACAGTGTAGACACGACGTGGCAACGAAGGCAAAAGGGCGAGGGCGTATCGTTCAAGAGCCTTAAGCATTTCCTCATTTCCTTCCAGTCAAGCTGTCGTTCCAAGATCGGTGCGGAGCTCGGTCGCAATGGCTCAAAAGGAACAGGCAACTTACACTGGAATTGGCCTCCGGCAATGTCTAAACACATCGTCGATTTTCTGAATTTCAGATTGACCAATATATGGAACTTCGAAGGGTTTCAGATTCGAGCTTGCCGCAATGGATGGAGTTCGACTCACTCCCGCGCCAGGTGACAGCCACAGCATATCTCATGGAGTCTCTGCTGCAGTTCGACCTGACCTGCTTCCGTATGTCTCAGCCGAACCTGCGCCCGAAACGTTGCAACTGGATAGGGTGAGCCAGTGGCAGCTTGGCGCTTTCAGGAGATGCTGAAGCACCTGCAGGCGTACAAAGACGCAGCCTCAAACACTCATGATGTGACAGTTGAGTTTGCCCTGGCAGAATTTTGCAGCCTGTCAGCTTCCGCTGCTGCTCCTCACTTTACTGGGGTGCTGCCCTTACGAGGCCGGCCTTTGGCTTCCGAAGACGGGTTTGGATCGAGATGGTGTCAAGAAGAGCGATGTGGGGAAATCGAAGTCCGATATAGAGGCATCTGGGGCAAACGGCAGAGATTTTGTCGGCGTTCCTTCCCGATGCTACACTGCATGAGCCGGATCCTTTGCTGGCAGGAGGCATGCCTAGTGTGAAACATCCGCCATCCTCGTTGCCAGCGTCCAATTTTCCCCGCGATGCTGGTCTTCTTGCTTTCTTCACAGATGGTCGAAGATGTCCATCTGCAGCAATGGGCGGCGGACAGATTGACCACCCTGTGGGAGGCGGAGGCCTCTCCTTTGGAGAGTTATGCCGCGCTTGTCCCAGCATTGGAAGTGGCTTGGGCTGCGACGTCGACCCGTGTGCACAGGACGATCGGATTGTTGCTGCAGCCTGAGCCTGTTCCATCGTCGTGCGCCATTTCGTAGTCGCAGAGGTAGCTGGAGCTCGAGCCTCAAGAAGCGACAAAAGCCCGCCAGAAAAAAGAAGCTTCGGGAGACTGGAAGCCGATGTCAGTTTGGAGGCCCCTTCCTTGTGGTAAGTGGATGTGGCCTCAGTAGATTGATGTGGAGGTTCTGTGAGATTCTGTGCGAGGGGGGGGGACTCTGCCAGCAGCATCCACCGGTCCACTTGATGGGGGGGAGGGGCCAAGGATGTGGGGGGTGGAGAGCCAAACAGGCCATAGTCACTGCCATAGTCATAAAAATCAAAAAAAAATCATCAAAAAAATCAAAAAAAACCATTAAAACACAATTTCTGTTTTGCAGATTTTATGTTGCCAGGTGCTGTTCCCCTTCTCCGCTCCCCCCCCCCTCCCCGCCCCCCCCACCACCCAAACCCCCCCCCACCCCCCAACCCCCCCAGGGTTGAATCTCCCAAACTAGCCATACTTGATGTCTTGCTTTGCATGGTTTGTGTGGCTTGCATGGTCCTGAGCAGATAGAAAGCATAGCAAATCATAACAATCATGCACTGAATCATATAAAAATCATATTACGCCACATATTTCCAATCATAAAGAAACATATGTGGTGTCATATCCATAAGTACAATCATAAACCGAGGATTTGCGAAATCATAAAAAACCCTAAACAATCATAACAGTATGCCGTGAATCCTGCCTCTGGCCGGACATCCCGTGTCATAACAAGAGCTTTCAAGCGCAAACTTGGAAAAATGCAACTGGACCAAGGTCACTGAAACCAAGAAACGTCGATTGTAGCTGGGCTCGGCATGTGGACGGTAAGGCATTGAGATGAGGTTTGGGGCAAAAGACAATGAGATGTCAAAATTTGCTACGGTGTTGGCTTGCATCCTGCATCCTGTTGGGCTTAGTCGCATGTAGTGTTCGTTGCCAGGTGCTGTTTCATTGGCACTATTCAAAGCGTTCATGCGAAGAGCGGTTCCACTCGACCTTGCGAAGACCTGCTAGACCCAAGCTCCACAGCCCTGCAATATATGTGGAACTGAGTGGATATACACGCTACAAAGCCTGTCCGCGAAGCAGCTTACCGTTATTTTCACCGTAACATGTAACTAGGCAATGTGCAATTTGTGCAGCGCTGTGCTCTCCAGAGAGCGCATGGCAATCATGGCAATATAAAGCAATTATAAAGCTCTTGGAGACGCTGCGCCTCTGATGGCGTGAGTCTCAGATCTGGCATCGCCTTCGTGCACCGCTGTACTCACAAGAGTGTCCTCATGTGTCCTCTGTAGAGTCCTCGTTTAGAGTCTGGCGCGTCGTTCTGCAGAATCGCTTTGTCCGAAGGCGGAGACGGAAGCGGACGGGGCCCCTTGATTTCCACACCTTTAAATCTCACCTTGGGGACTATTGGGGCTTGATTCCTGAGGACACGAAGGATGTGAAGCCGGTTGAATACCGGGTTCTGCAAGGGCCGCTTTTCAAAAAGCCGGGCAGAGACCCGACCTCACAGAAGGCGGTCGGGATGCCGTGTTTCAACTGTAAGAGACCATGCGGGACCTAAGACTTTCTGCATCGGGAGGTCATCAAGTTGAACAGGAAGGTGGGAACGAAGGCCCCGGGCCCAGCTTCTTTAGCACACTCATGTGACAAGAGTGACAAGACACCGAGAGAAGCCCTTGGCCAAAGCCTGAAGTAAGTTCACTGCGCACTTCACAAGACCAATATCACCATGCAAATGCACTCTGACGTGCCTCACACTTGTACATGCTCCATCCAACCTTTGCCCCTGTGGCAGCCACCCAAAAGCCACCTAAAGAGAAAGATCCTGCGAAACTGCTCTCAAAACCTCAGTAAAGTTTGCCTCCCCCAAACCCTCTGAGAGGTTCAGAGCACGGGCCGGACATGGCAGGGCCCTGCTGGCGGCCTTTGGCTCGAGCAGGGCACCCGGATGCCAGAGGGCCGGGGGGGGGTTCTCAAGGGTTGCCATCTATGGTCTTCAACTGCTCGTATGATTTATACATGCATCATTTCTTCGCGTTCCTTTTCTTCCATCTTTGTATGGGCTGTTTGTGGAGCGTTCTGGGCTCGGCGGAGGAGCCATTGTCGGCAGTCTTGAACAGGTGTCTCTGGGGCTCCGGGCCTGATTCACGAACCTAAACCCGTGAACGCCAGTGAACGCCTCATTGTTACGCGGGCTTCAGGGCTTGGATTTCCTGACCAGGTTGGTCGGCGACAAGCCGGGATGGCTGCTGGTCGGCTGAGATTCTTCGCATCCGTGCATGGCACGTAAGGCGCGTATTGCTCGTCCCCTGAGGTGGAAGGACCTGGTTTTAACCAGCCAGGCCAACTACCTACCGAATCAAAGGAAGACGATGGAAGTTGACGATGATGGAACTTGATTCTGAGCTATGTGCAGGGCCACTTTTGGAGGAGGTGCGATCGGGCGATGAGGCTGGCTCAAAGACATGTCGATTCCGGGCTTTGTCGGCCTCTAGCGCTGGGAGGAGCCAGTGGTGCTCTATGCTCTGTCGCCGATTGACGATAGTCTGGGCCCGAGCCCTCCGACAACAAAAAGCATCCAAGCCGCGTGTCGTTGCCGCTGAGGCAAGTTTTGCGATATCTGCCCGAAGCCTCGGAACCCCAAGAATTTGGGGGCACAGCATGGCCCAGGCGACACGGAGGCGAGATACTTTTGACAGAGACTCACCTGAGGCCTCAGGCCTTCACAGACGGTGAAGCAGGCCAAACACTGGCTGGCACTTCGTTTGCCTGGCTTGAAGGCGCGCGGTTTGTCAACAGATGCCCACGAGTGCCCCCAATTGGGATGCACTGGGATGCACTGATGCCGCGAGTCGAGTAGGTGGAGAGCATCATCGTGGCAAAGGAGAAGCCAAGCGAGAAGACTCATGGCCAGGGCTTGCGGAACTTCCCAGCGAACTGGATCTTGGAAGACGAGGCAGCTGACGGCTATGCTGCATGACATGCCGCATGACACAGCACAGCGATGTTCAGCGAAGCGTCAGTCCCGACAAGTCAGGTCCGCATACGTGATACTCCCTTCAAGGACACAGTCTTGTAATGTCTTGTACTATGCCACAGGCAGCAAGGCACGGTCACATTCACGGAGGACGGCGACGAGCTGGTCTTCTTCTACATGGGTGACGCCGCGCAGGTTGGAGCTGCATTGTGGCATCATCCGTCTTTGCAGCCGGGCCATGGCGGCCATGCAACAGGATGTCGCCGAAGCGCAAGCTCGAGTGGCACCCGAAGGGTAAGGGCGCGATGCCTCGAGAAAAGACGTCGGCACATGTCGGCACTGTGGATTCTGCGGATGCTAAACTGCTAAATGTTGCTGCAGTGACGGCTTGATTCTTTCGGCCGTGGCAGAAATCAAAGACTAACCCTGGTTTCGGCTCAAGTGATGTCAGAGAGCCTTGCCAGGATTGCACGGACAGGCCCGCAATGGGAGATGTCCAGCAAAGCGGGTCATGCGCAGGACCGCTCATGTTCTTTGATGCGGCTGCATTTGTGTCGACTATTTTTTGTCATCAACAAACGCACCCTTCGCACGTAGTGGTGGCAGAGGGCTTGCAGTGCCATTAAGGCGCACAGGGCACCCGACGAAGTAAGCAAATCGGAAGTCCGATGCACGCAGAACATGTACAGAAGGTTGCTGGCCTAGTTATGTATACGGTGTATACTGTGGATGTAGGTCTGTAAGCCTGAAGCCAGACCCTCAACCGCTTCAAGCGAGGACGCCAAGATCGGTGACGTGGTGGCCTCGGTCACCGGCAGCTTCGCAGGCTAGGGCTTAAGGCAGGCTTACCAGAGTGTAGTGCATAAATACATATATGGCTTACACACTCCTTCAAGTAAATTTCTGGCCCGGTCGTTTATTGAGGCCCCATTTCACCAGTTCGACGACTCCTTTCGCGAAGCCCTCATCGACGTTGCCTCTCGGCTCGTGAGTTAGCTGTAGCAGAGTCCTCTGAGCTGTTTAAGCTGATATATCAAAAGGCTGATTTTCAAGGATGCTGTGCCGCCTCTTGCCAGGTTGATGGCTGTTTGAAGCACAAGCCGGAGAATGTGCCAGTCGAGCAGCAGCAGTCCTACATGACATGGACTCTCGTGGCATCCTTGTGTGAAACCACGAAGCCGTGGAGCTGAGTTGTGTTTCAAAAAGGTATTTCGCAGAACACCTTGAGCCCATCCTCAGTGCAGTGGTCCCATTCTCAGCTCATCAGCTCGCAAGCATGTGGGGACCCTGTGCCCATGCCACGACCTTGTTGAGGCTGTGGACTGCATCGCAAGCCAGCCAGAGAATCCCACTGCCTTTCTGCAGGTTTGGGCAAGGCCCCTACTGAGCGTGACAGAGAGGCGCTGCATTCCTGCCTGGCGTGCCTGGGCACGGCCACTTTGCATGCTACCAACTGAACAAAATGAGTGGCCGAGATATTCGCAAAAAGTGGTTCGCCGAGGCAAAGCAGCGCGAGTACGAAGCCTCCTTGCCGCGCGAGGGCGCTGAGCTGCAGGCCCCACCGTGTCCCTTCGTTGCCCTTACGGATGATACGGATGAGGGGTGTTTGGCTTGGAGGGCACAGGGTTATTAATCGTACTTGAGGAGCCGAGGCTCAGGGCTCAGGAGCGGGGCTCTTGTTTGAGCGCCGACAAATACTAGTGTCTGGCCAGTGTCTTGCTGGTGGCAGGAGGCAGTCTGCAGAGAAACGCCACATGAGAAAACATTGGGCCAGACAAAACTTTAATTAGGAAACTTTTTGGACAGCCCGTCATGCCCACACCACGGACAAGACAACCCACAAGGAAACACCACGAACCCTTCCGGACAGCGCACACCATCCAAGGGATCACACAGGAAGGCGAAAGGCAGGGCGTGTTTGCTTCAAACTGGGGCTGTGGCTCCCATTGCACGAAATGAACCATCACTAGACATGGACATCGTCACACATATTCAGCAGCTGTGGCACTTCTGTATCTCTTCTGACTGATGACTTGGCAGCAATCCGCTGAGGCATTGAGCGAAGAAAGGTTCAGGGCCAAGTTCAGGGCCATCGAGTTTTCCGAATCCCAACCTCTGCAGGATGGGCAACTGGACATGTCGCCAATCGCCCGTATGGCCATCTCCAGCTGGCAGCACAAGGCGCGCGCTCTGCCCATGTCATGTGTAGAATCTTCAGAAGCCAATCGAGGGGAGTGGGGGGCAAGCAAAATCAAGCGAATCATCTGAAGGAGTGTGCTCGTGAGCTGGAGAAGCTGCAGCAGCAACATGGCCTGCTGCGGGATGCCGGGGCCCTTAAATCTTGTAAACAAGGCATGTGGGAGACCCTGCTTGTGGAGTTCTGAATTTGGGGAGGCCAGGCAAGCAAAGATGAGGCTAAGGTGTGCACGTAAGTGCACGTATGTGCACGTATGTGCACGTATGTGCAATGTGCATGTTCTGAGAGAATGCCGCAAAACTGCCCATGCAATATAGTATGCTGTGTGAGGAAAAAAGGAGAAGAGCCCGCAAATGCTAGAAGAGTCGGCAACCGACTGCTCTTTCGCCTTCGCTGCTCTTGTGCTGAGGTCCTCAGGTCGTCACAGCGCGGCCTCGGACTCTGGCGGGCGCTGGAAACGGGAGGCGCTTTCAACTGAGACGAAACCCACCCCCCCTCTTCCCATCATACTAACCCCCCACCCTCTTCTGAGCCGAGGGGGGGTGGGGGCTTTACAGACGGAGCCACAGACGACATCCTCCACGACACTCTGTTTTTGTGCTAGCTTTCCCGCTACTGCAGTTTTGCCAATACATCATGTTTGTGCTGGTTAACTACTGCCTGATGCCATGCTACGAACGTTGATATTGCGGTCTTGCCCCTATCCTGCTTGGTTGTTGCGAGTAAAGCGGCTGCTGGCATTGCACCGTTGCTATGTTGCTGGTAACTTAAATGATTAGCCTGTGCTGCCTGTGATTCTCCTTGCCCCTTGGTCTTTGTGTAGTGTCGCCTGTGTGTTCTTGTCGCAGTATTCTGTGCAGATATGTGCAGTGTCTACGGGATACGTACATGTTAGGGCTTCGAACCCGAAGCCTCTGCAGATCGTGCAGCCTTGTTCACCATCTTGGAACCCTTTGGCTTGGCACAAGGTGGGGGCCCCCGGAAGTTCCGAAGACTTCCGAAGAACAATATTTAAAGCAGTTCCACTCAGAAGCAGCTCTCTGACTGTTGTTTTCTACGTCTGCTCTCCAGGCCATTCGAACTTTGCCACGGGGGCGGAGCTCCTCCCAGAGCCTCTGAGTTGTTGTATTTCTTCCAGAGGAGAGTCAGAGGGTGGGTCTCAGTGTGAATCTCTCAGGTGGCCATGGACTACCTGGGCAAAGTTCTCCGGTGCTTGCGCAGCCGCGGCACGGGGACCTGGGGGGAAACATGTCCTTTTGATGGAGTGCAGTGGCGCAGTGCTTAGTTTTTTGAGTCGGAGGAAGGGGGGAGGGTTGGGGGGAGGCAGGGGGCCCGCCCCTTCCCTTCCCTTCTGCATGCGACGCCCTCTGAGAGTGAGCGCAAAGGTGTCACAAGCGCGTCCGCGGCCTTCCTGCACTTCAGCCCCGACCAGGTGCCCTCAATTTGTTTGCTCGGGGAAGACTGCTCTGGCATGAACGAAGTTCATAAAGTCAGTTTATACTATAGTAGGTCCTTTCTCGGTGTCCGACACACGAGAGCAGTGTGATTGCGCGCTTGAATTTCGGCTCAGCTGCCATGGCAGCATGGAGTATCATGGCATTCCCATAAATGCCCTAGAGAGCCCAGTGGCCACAAACCGCCCATGAACTGCCCCTTCGTCAGAGCCTGAAGCCCATTGAGAGTGAAAACTCGACAATGTGGTGCTACCGCAGAGAAAGGAACAGTTCCCTCCCAACGCCATATTTCCCCCGACTTTCTGCTGGACTTCCGGGAAAGCGTCGTCAACTGAGCACCTCGGATCAGACATCATGTTCCGCATGTTCCTTAAGCGGCAGCTTGAAGGGTTGAGACGTTCTTCCTTTCGAGGTGTGGTGTGGTACACCATGGTGACGCCAGGAGTCGATCTCAGATCTTGCCACTGAATCCCCTGATTTCTTTCTCCAAAAACATGTTGTGCTCAGGGACCTCTCTGATGCCGCGATGCACTTCAGAGCTCGCTTGTCTGCCAGGCACGCTGCCGTTGGCATGTGACCAGCGACTTGCCCTTAGTCGCGGGGGGGAGGGGTGGGGGTGCTGCGGTGCTGCCTACTTTGCCGTCCGTCCAGCCTTGACAGTCTTGATATTCCGCTTCGATTCGAAGGCATGGCCAGCGTGGCATGTGGGGCGACGCCCAGTCGCTGCCCGCGTGAGCCTGCTTGTGTTTTGCTGGAAAACATGGCACCGGCGGCATGGCACAGCTGTTTTCAGGCCTGCCATCCGCCAAGTCCACCACGTCCCAGGCGAGGCTCTGAGGGACCATTTCTCAGCACAAAGTAATATGAACAGGTGAACAGGCCTTTCAAGGGTTCAAAAGGTGTTTTCCAAGAGCCACGCCGCTGTTGAACGCCACTGTGACTGCGATGGCCGGCCCGGAGCTCCCAGGCTTCGCGTGGTGCCTTGGGGCTCGCCGCGGCGCTGCCGGCTCGCTTCTGGCCGCTCGTGACACTCGCGTTCGAACTAGCTTAGGGAAGCGAAGGCGAGATGTTCAGCCTGTGTGGGATGTGGACCGATGTGGACCGTGCTTGACTTGGACCGTGCTTGGCTCCTCTACCTTCGCGCGTCCGTGTAGCGTAGGCTCTTGTTCGACTCTATGAGCACAACAGCAGACCTTTACACAGACCGCAAGCCAAATCAGCAAGGACTATGCAATTGCCAGCTGCATCGACAGCCCGCCTTCGAGTCTGTAGACGACCATTTCCCCCAGTAGCCCTGCAACTTCCGACGTCCGATAAATTGATACCTTGACTTCCGGATGGAAGACAGCCTTTCTCTTGAAAGATGACTTATGGGCGCAGCGCGGAGCTGCGCTGAGAAGCCCTGGTGCCTGTCACCGCACGCCTGCGACCGTGATGGGCAGACGTACCTGGACTTGGTGACGGCTACGTGGCTAAAAATGATATCAGCTGATATCAGCTTTTGTGGGGCCAGAGGCTTTCTTTTCTCCTGAAGTAGCTCCGAAGCCTTCTGGTAACATAAACGCACCTTGGGAGCACGCGCTCGACCGTTTGTGCCCTGTCCGAGGCTATACCAAGCCACGGGCAATGCGGAACCTTCGATGAGGAAGTTATCGAAGTGGAGTGCCCTGCAGGCGCCATTTTCCCCGAGACGTTGCAGAACCTGAAGTTGCTGGACAGGCCCCTCAGCCTTGAAGTTGTTGCTTTTCATCTTTCACTTATTTATGGACGTTTCTAATCGGTCCGTTACAGCTTGAACCAACAAGTCACCGAGGCACTTTCTGGTTTTCTGTGGCACCTCAAACCTTGTGGCGTTGAGATGGGTGCTGCGCTTTGGGGCTTCCCCGAGTACCCATGATTCCAACAGCACCACCGGCTTGCACGTGCCTTGGAGGTGATCAGAATCCCGGACTTTTTCGACCCTTGCGACGAACTACACTAGATTCAGTAGATCACCTCGGCAGGGAGGCTTTGGAGCGAGCCTCGTGCAACTGGCCCCCGTATCCTGGGATGTTGGACAGTTCACTCTCATTCAAGAGTAGTCTTTTATAGGAGGCCTATATGCCTGTACATTCTTAACTTAGGTGGCCTGCCGAAGTGGCTCCGGCAGCGTGGTCTCCGAGTTGCTCCGGCACCGGCCGTCCTTGGACCGCGCCGACGTGGCGGGGTGGACGCCGTTGCACGTGGCCGCCCGCATGTCGCGCTGCAGCATTGTGGTGCTCCTGCTCAAGGCCAGATCTAGCACCAATTGCTGGGGATCCCTGGGAATGAATACTGTCATGTCGCAAGTGTCCCAAGCTCTGAGTGAATGAAGCAGATGTTTATCTGACAGACGCACAAGGGATCGAGGAGAGCTGTCTCGTGTGAAATGGCATGTGCCGTCCAGGCTGGTGCACCCATCTGGGTTCGCAACAGCCATGGTGAGCTCCCGTCTGATATGTGCCTTGACGGGGCCACACACTCGGCGTTTGCATCCTTCCAAGAGTACTTGCTGTCAAGTCCTCAAATCAATGCTGCCGCCTGGAGCTTTTACTGGGATCGGCCAGAGGCTGAGGATTCCGAGGCACCCCTGCCCACACCGTTTTTCACGCCTCAGCACCCTATCGCCAACTTTCGTGGCCAGAAAGAAGCGGTGCTAATCGCCACACGAGTTTTCAACGCGCAGCCCGGCTATGGCATCGCCTTCATCCGAGCCGCAGGTTTGGCGCATGATTATCCCAGGACTCAATATACATCGACAGCTGCGATGAGCACATAATCGAAAGGGGAAAACTGCGAAACCTTAAGCGCTGCGCTGCTCACGCACTCGCCAAGCCAGTCTGAAGGAGCTCCTCCAAGTTCCTCTACCAAGACGGCATCAATCGCAAGGCTGGGTGGGAGTTATGGTTGTTATGTTTGGGAGCTTTTTTGGGGCCTCGGGACATCTTCGGAACAGTTGGTACCTTTCCAGCATCGGGCGATGAGCAGAGGCGTCCTGTCTCCCTGGTTTGAGGCAGTCGGGCACTTCCTGGGTCAGACCTTTGCAATGTGTCGGTGCCTGAGCGTACTGCCTCGACAGTGCTGATCAAGCAACAGCAACAGCCTTTCGAAAGTGTTTACCCGAAGTGGCAACTGTTGAAGCCTTGAAGCAAGGGAGCACGGTGTACGACATATTCATGACACATGATATTTACTACATAGCAGCCTTCGCAACCTTAGCAATATGTGGGCGCGAGGTTGGGGTTCCTTTGCAACTGTTCGCCAGCGAGGTGAAACTCTTCGCCTGGCTTTCTTCAGCCGCTGCGAGTTTTGGAACACGGGGGTCGTCTCTGCCCTGGTGGAAGCCCGACGTGGATTCGATTGGCAACGGCCTCAGACCACACTACAGCACCATATACAGACAGTACCTCACACTTTCACGTTTTCTTTTCAGGTGTTCGCGGTACGCGCCTACAGTTTTAAGTGCGTTTCGGGGTTTAGTAGGCAGCGCTCCCTTTAGAGGCTCACATCTCCTTTCAGTGTTCAGTTCTTGCCACTCACCACCATGTGATCCTTGGCAGTTGACCCCATCTTCAATATAGGGCTAGGGATGCACCATCCGCTGCTCCATTTTGGGGTTTCGTCTTTTTGGGGTTTCGTCATTCATAATTCAGACATTGGTGGGGGTTCGGTTGCTCAGGCCGGAGGAGTTGCAGCAGATGAGCCGCATCGTCTACGCCATCGCCATCAACTGGTGGACCTGCCACGAGGAGGCCCAGAACTTCCAGAACCTACAGCAGGAGGCAGAGGCCGCGGTTCAGCTCCCCTCCACTCCTCCCACGGACAATTTCAGAGAGAGAGGGAGGAACGGAACACCCTCAAGCCCAGCAGAAGAAGAAGAAGGAGGAACGGAACAGGTCTCCATGGGGGAAAGGGGGGCATGTCTGACATCAGCCCTCAAACTGAAGGAAGGACGGGGGCGGAGATAGTCACAAACTTAAGATACTCGTATATACTTGGGCTCCGATCCGAAGGTCCCGCATCAGTGATCACAGACTATCTTTTGTCTTTTTGTATGACATTCGGCCTAAAAAAGCTGCGAGAAAAGCCCAGGCAGATAGGTGCACGCACGTGCGCAGCACGAAAAGTACAGTCTCCCCAGGCTCCACTTGTGGAGTTGGATGAGATCCGGGGCTTGGACTTAAAGACGGACATTGGCAGCGCAGAGGCCTTGCAGCACATGATGCTTTCCGTGCTGTGCTTGCACCACTACATGCACGAACAGCGGAACGACATGGACTTCGAAGCCTGGAAGACGCTGCAGAGCTCCCAGGGCACCGCAGGTGAGATTCCGGACGAGCTGCTCTACAAGATCTGGCGTGTGGTGCGGAAGGAGGCGCTTCCACAACTCAGCGTGCCTGGCTTGACTGGCAGTTCCGGTGGTAGCCACAGCCTGAAGATCGTTCTGCCTGAGGCAGACGGGACGAGCTTGGAAGAGGGCGACAAGACTTTGCTGGAGAACGTGGAGCAAACTGAGCAGAGCTTGGCGCAAAGTGAGCAAATTCCATGGCTCCAGGGCCTTCCGAGCCTTCAAGGGTGGTTAAACGTCAGCACGCCGGGCCTCGAAGCAGATGTCAAAGGTCGTCTTTGGGCCAGCGTATGCCTTGGCTTGCTCTTCTTCTCCCTGTCACCTAGAGCCGCTGCCCCAGAAGCTTTTGTGAGCTTGTCCGGTGTTTTCCCCTCCTGGGACGGTGGCTCCATCATCTTGGAGAAGTGGCGGAGCATCGACGGCAAAAGCGAATCCTCATCTCCCTCCAACAACTTTGTGACCGGCGCCTTGCTAAAGCCTGATGGAAGCTGGAAAGAATGCAACTTCCTCAAAGTGGAGCTTGGACTCACGCCGCAGGAGGATCCGCAATCCTGGCTTTCCTGGCTGGGCTCTATCGAAAACACCCGAAGCTGGGTGTGAAATTCTGTGAAAGGGGTGAAGCCCTCTCACGTTCGTCTCTGTGTGTTTCAACATGTCTCAATGGTGTCTCAGTATAACGTCTCAGTAGCATCAGTTGCTCCACTCCCGCCGTTCTGACAGTCGGCAGAGCCGATATGACAACTTGAGCAGAAAGCGGCTGAGAGAATGAATCTGCCGGGGCTGCACTCTCCATTTGGAGTTGAGTGAAAATGTGGAACCCAGCGCCTCCCCAGATCTTTGACCGTTGACCATTCAAAGGGGTGAACTTGTTTTTTTAGACCCTTTAAACAAGAAAGCAAGCAGGGTAGGTAGTATAGCTGCAGCCGGTCGTATCACCCCGAACTTCTGGATATGGAAACTGCTGCACAGGCTGCTGTTGGGGCCACACTTCATCGAAAGAAGATCGCCCTGCGAGCGCGGAAGGTCGGGTATGAAGCTTCATAGGCTAGGGTGTGGGGGTTACACCAAGGGAGTGTCTTGGGTCACACCGGGCGTTGATTCCACTTCAGTCACTTTTGTCATGGCCGTGCCGAGAACATCCCATGCCCTTGCGTTTCTCTTTCGCTCTCACCCAGTCACCCAGTGCACTGTAGACTCTGTAGATGCCACAGAATCGCTGTTGAGGCGGCCTTCTCTGTGGCTGCAGAGGTCTTCGAGGAGGACGAGGCCGCACATGGCCGCACCAAACTTCAGAGTGCCGGTGCTTCCTGGGACCTTGATTCGCAATCTGCAAGCATTGAGCCGGAAACCCTAGAGTCCCTAGAGACATCGAGGTAGGACATGATGGCTCTGGCGCAGGTGGATGTCGCCATCATTGGCGCAGGCCCAGCAGGAACGTTGCTGGGCTACTTGCTGGCGGAGCAGTACGATAAGTGGGCGGCCCTGCTCGACCCTCCTGTTTCGTCACAGGCTTAGATTGCCACTGACCCCAGGAAGGTCACTCTCATCGACCCGATGGCCGACAAGAAATGGCCGAACAACTATGGTGTGTGGCAGGCTGGGACTGGGAGCACTTGCCTGTGTTGGAGCGTGAAGCACCTAGCCAAAGCCCTCGCCAAGCTTTCGCTAAGCTCTCACTAAGCTCACTTGATTTCTATCGTCGAGTTGCAGGCCGAATGGGATGCCCTGGCCAAGAAGTTAGGGCTGGAGCTCGAGGCCTGCCGAGGCCCCAGGCAGGCTCGCGCCCCCCACTTATATACCTTGGCACCCGCTATCGTTTTGAGAAGAGCAAAACACAAGCACAGAGGTTTGGGAAGCAAGTGGGCAGTGACGGACTGCTTCTTCGGAGGCAGCTGGGAGGCGATGGGGGAGTTCTTGCAGCACTGCACAAGAAGAATACCCACATGGAAAGAATATGTAGCCAGAGAATCGGATCTCCCAAATGCTGGTGTCCAGCCCTGCCCAGTTGCCGGATGAGAACCGGCTTCGGTTGGACCGCCCCTATGTCCCAGCCTAAGATGGCTGAGCTGAGGTTTTGAGACTTTGTGCTTGTATTGTTATTGTCACTGTGGCCCCTGATTGTTCGTGAGAACTTCCCTGTGTGGGGTCGAAGGCCCGGGTCGACAGGGACAAGCTGAAGGCACTCCTGAGAAGCAGCTGGGGCCTTAAGCGTTAAGGCCGTTAAGGCCTAAGCTGCACCCCCAAAGTTTCTGCCACCTGAGACCACAAAGCCAGATTCCCCGAATGAGGTTCGAAGCTCCAGGTGCTGGAAGCGGAGGTGGAGTGCCAGGCCTTTCTATAGGTCGTGGGCTTCTCTGGAAACGACCGCATCCGACTACAAAAGGCTGTGGCTAACAACATCTTCGACAGCCCTGCCATACGACACACTGCAGACGGCACCATGCTCAGCCTTCTGAAGCTCGAAGCCAAGAGCTCTCTGAGACCATGGGAAAACCTTATACAACATTCAACCCACCTCAACTTGAGACATTCGGATGCCGACTGCGCATAGAGGCCCGAACCCTCTAGCCAAGCATGCAAAAATCCAAACCTCTAGACCTGAGAACCCACATTTTCATCAGGTTTCCGAAGCTCTCAGACCTATAGGCCCTGGACCCCGAACACAGGGCCAACACATCCAAAGCTCATAATATGGTGGGGGGGGTCACAGGGTCAGATTGTCCACCATACAGGGTCCATAGAGGTTCCAGATAGAAATACTAACACAAATGCATACAACTAACCAGGGTATTACCCCAAAAGAGCATGTCGAGGGTTGTGCCCGGGCCTTAGCGGATTGTTACAAGCCCTATAATACGCCTCATTATTCATAATTCATAAATGTGCCCTATTCGTAGAGCTGAAGGCTCCGTCCTTCTCCTGTCAGATGGCTCGGCAGTGCGGTCAAGGCTCCTCGGCTTTGAAAGACAATGAGCAGGTGATAGCTCCTGCAAACAGAGCGGATAACGCAAGTGTCTAGTATTGCTTATACCTATACTACATACGCATACATGGTACAACTAAACGCTTACAATAATGTACCGCTTATTGTACTGGCAACGTTTTACTGCCCCCCAAACACCAGAACACCAAAGCACGAACTTACCGCTGGCAGAGAGGCTGGTCGTCGACACGACCGGTTTCGAGTCCCGCCTGACACGTCGCCTCTCAGCACCGGTGGGGCGCTCGTTTGGATGCCGAGACAAGCTCAGAGTTGGGGTTCAAAGATCAGTAAATTTCACGAGGGCCAGCCGCCATCTCCTGCGCCGGGCTACCAGATTGCCTATGGCTGCGAGGTTGCCCCGGGCCCAGAGAATCAAGGGGGGCGGGGGGTTGACTTGCCTGTAAGAGGGAACGCAATTTACCTCGACGCGTGATCAGGCGTGGCGCTAGGCTTAGAGTGTCCAAGATCGGACTTCTAGGTGCCCACTCCCACGTTCCTTTAATGAAAGTTGTGTGCAAGCTTGATGAATGCACAGAAAAGTGGGGGTGGCAATTCTGGAGATATCCTGACAGCATCTACTGGGGTCATCGAGCTAAGAACGTTCATATCAGATCCAACCAACCCGGCACTTGTCACTTGGAAATCCAGGTGGTGGACGGGTCTTTCCACTACGCGCCAGAGGCGATGACGCTGTTCGACTACCGCGGCGGACTTAGTCACCATGATGTCACCGTCGGCAGAGCCGTGCCAGTCTTGTCCCAGCTTTCCAGGAACGGACCACCTTAGCTTTGAGCCGGCCATGAGCCCAAACGAGCCTTTTGCTTTGGATTCTCTGGTTGTCTCCGATCGCAGGAGTGGGAAAAAAGGGCAGAGAAGGAGCCAACCTTCATGTACGTTATGCCCCTTGGCCCTGCGAGGTCCTCAGTGGGCGCCTGAATTCAGGGCCGACTTGAACCCTTTCCCTATAGCTATCTTCCCACATCAGCATAAAGGTCTCGACCCAGGTTGCCGTGATGTGGACTCCCCTTCTTACGGTGGCTCTCATCTGCTCTCACCGAAACGCTCAGGGGGGAAGTGGCAAACAAAAGCATACATTCGTTTCCCCAACTAATCCCCAGCAAAACAAATATAGCAGGGGGGTGGGGCAGGGTAGGGATCTCAGTGTCCCCTATTCAACATTCTTTGTTTCTTTCGATATTCCCGCAGCGTTTTTCGATCTGGTTCGGCGCCAGTGCACTGCTGGCCCAGGTGGAGGGCGAGCCGGACGCCCAAAGGGCCATGTGCTCAGATGATGCATGTTGACCCCAGGCCCCTGTTCCAAGGGGCAGCTTCTGTCGAACCAAGGTGTTCTTTGAAGAAACCTCCCTCGTTGGTTCCCCAGCTTCCGCCACCATGGGTGCGCAAATGTGGTCTGTTTGTGTCCAAGTCAGAGGGCCTTTGGTTCTCTCATGTTCTCTCTGTCCACTCCTGTGACTCCTGTCTTGGAACGCCTTGCTGCTGTTCGCAGGTTGCCCGCCCTGCAGTGAGTTTCGAGGAGTGCAAACGGCGGTGCTTCCAGAGACTCAAGTATCTAGGTGGGAGCCATGCAAAATTCCCTTGTGAACTCAAGGTCTGTAATAGTTTGTGAGAGGCAGAAAATGACGGTTGCAGGCATCTCCTACAGGGAAGAGACCATTGCAGACGAGGCCCCGCCCACAGTCTCACCTGCCGTCGGGCGCTGCTTTGCATGCAGCAGGAATTCTGCTACATACCCATGGGTGGTCCGTTGCCCGAGCGACTTGACTCTGCATGAAAGGGAGGAAAGACACTTGTCTTGAAAGCAGAAACCATACGCCCTAATCTGCTAAGATGCCAAGGCCTGGGCAGCGCATTGTCGCATTTGGAGCAGCCGCAGCCATGGTCCATCCCTCCACAGGCGTTGGCGAGCCCATCAGCCTATCGATACAACATTTGAGCAGATCTCTAGTCACCTTTGCAGCGTTTGGTGTCGGTGATGTGCGCCTAATCCATGCGGTCACATGGACCATGTTCTCGCGAGATGCAGCCGCGGGCCACTCAGAGCGAGCAGTGAGTAGTGTAGACGTAGACGCAGACAGCCGGTGCTGCACGCGGCCTGATGACAACCACCGTCCTCTCCTCAGCTTCTGACACAAGAAACGATGTGCTGAGGGCAACGATGTGTGGCTGTTCGCTCTGTCCTTGCAGGCAGAGGCAAAAGAAGGGCTTCTGAAGGAGGATGCAGAGTTGGGCAGTGCTCTTAGGCTCTTAGACTATTCGAGAGCAAAACCCTGCTGATCCCTCAGCATGTGCTGAGGCATGAAGATGGATGTTGACAAGGCCAAAGAAACTGCCAGCAGCATCAAGGATGACACGGCCAAGTTTGCCAAGCAGCTTGGAAACGACATCGGCACAACTTGGGAAGAGCCACTCGGCTTTAGCTTTCAAGAAAGCAGGGGGGGGGGGGGGGCTTAGCGTGGTGCATCCAAGAGAAGAACTGTGCTGACTGTGCTCTGCGAGGATGCGATCGGCCAAGTTCACGATGGCCTTGGATGCTGAAGATGATACCTGGTGGAAGAAGCATCCCGGCCAACAAGGGATGCCTTTCGTGATGTGCTCTGGGTGTTGGGAAAGAGTCGTTGAGATTTCTGCTATGTCTTGCGCTGTTCCCCCTGACCATCAGGGCAATCAAGTGCTTCATGCGCCCTGGCTGCAGCGGCAGTGTGCGCTCTACCCTCTGTGTGTGTGCACACCAACGTGCAGCTTGAGCAGCTGAGATGATTGCGTGAGCAGGTGTCTTGCTGCATAGTTTGAAGGACCTATTTGATGAAGCCGCTGATCATCATCATCATGATTTATGTCTTCATCGCGCAGCAGTTGTACAAGGCCAACGACATGTCCCGAGGTTGCTCCCGACAATGTGCCCGGTTCTTTTGTTGGAAGCTGGGCTTATAAGTGGAGCAACCTCGAGTGTCCGCAGGCGCTTCTCTTGTTCTTCTTTGGGGCAGGTCTACAAGATTCTGCCGATTCACTTGATTGAGATGATCTTCGCAGTGGGGCTTTGCTTTTTCGGAGGCGAGTCGGCCGCAAGCGGGCAGACCGAGGAACAGGTTTAAGTAGACGGCGCATCGTAGCAGATAGACATGACAGCTATTGACAGTTTCGCCCAGGTGTGTATTTTGCCTCGATTGCAGCCTACGAAGCTTTCCGCAACTTTGGCGGCCAACTGCTGATCGATGTCCTCCCGCCTCATTTACATCCGCTGCCATGCTATGCTGACTGTTTGCCTTGGAGTCTGAGCAGGGCCTCTGGGGTCTCTGGGGCCCCAATGCATAGCTCATGAATAGCTCATGAATAGCTCATGCTCATATGGCGGAGAAGGGTTCAGAAGCCAGGAGCTTGCGCTGTGCTGGGAACAGGCCAGAGGGATCTCTCGGGAAGAGCAAGCGAATCTGCCTTGACAGCTGCTAGCAATGTTGACGGGGAAAGAGTCGAAGTCAGAACTATCGCTTCGCATCGCTTCGTTTTCGAGGCTCTCCTGGTCAAGGCGGTCGGGTCCCCAGAAAGTTCAACTTACAGGTTCAACATTTTTCAAAAAGCAAAAGTACCTTTTAGGTTCGCTGGGCTCTGGCCTCACCGCTTTCTGGCCAAGGCAAATGAGATCGACGACAAAAAGGACGAGAACAAGGCACGGCCGGCACGGCCACTCCCGGGATGGTAAGCTAAGCAGCTAAGCCCACATCCGGCCACTGAAGGATGGCATTGAGGACGTCAAGCAGATGAGCTACAATGAGTTGATCAACCACAAGGCCTGTGGCCTGTGTACGATGCACAGACTCTGCCCCAGACCGTGCCCCACCACTAGGCTAAAATGGCCATGATGGCTGTCGAGAAGCCCGACCGCTTGATGAAGGCAACTGTCTGAAGCTTGCACCAGCACCCCAACACTCCCTCGTTGAATCATGCCAGAAAACCCCCGAAGCCCTTTCACGACATGAGCCAGGCCACTCAGTACCTCTTTACGGCCTGGGTGTCTGCCTGATCCTCGGTCCTCGGTACTAGGAACAAGCATCTCTAGAACTCTGTATAGAAAGTGGGGGGGGAATAAGTTGGGGGGTATATGGGGCCGGGGCGGGGGGATTCTCCAAACCCTCCTCTTGGACCAATTCTCTGGAAGCAGGTCATCGCAACCTTGAAGTCGCAGTCGGCCCCCAAGAGCGTCGCATTGAGAGTTGCTGTTTGCTATTCCCCTATACTACCCTATACTCTGAACTGGGAGCTTATAAGAATAATTATTCTGTGCTTTTGCTCCGAAGCAGGGTGCGCAGTTGTCGGGGTTTGGGGATGCCAGCCCTCTTGGCCTTGAGGGGTGGGGGGTTGCGGGGGTGGGGCAGGTTCGCCAAGACGGTGGCCATTGCGCTGGGCATCGCAGATCAGCTGGAGCTGCCAATGGTGCAGATCTTCGGCCCCATGCTCGCCATGTTGTTGGGCAAGGACTCGCGCATCAAGTTCGTTTTTGAACGTGCTCAAAGCAGCTTCAAAGTTAAAGCGGCAGCTATGTAAGGCAACTTCATGGCACTTTTGGAAGCATCATGTGCCTTAGCAGGACTTGACACACTGGGTGGCCCCTATCATTGGAACCACCATCAAAGTCATAGCTGTGGTCATTGCCTCCTACATCCAGGCGCCTGCGAATCCAACGTCGCTGCAGCCCCCCCCCCCCCCCCCCCATTGAATTGCGCGCTCTGGCATGTGCAGTCGATTCATGACGTATACGGACGCACCAGTAAGCCAGATCTTGGCTAATTAGCAGTCTTCTGTTGGCAGTCAGTGAGCCAAACTTGGTGAGAACAGCTGGAAGGCCGTCATCAGCGCATTCTACTCCGGCTTGCGCGGCGGCCGGTTGTTCGGAGAAGCGCCGCTGGGTTGAAGAAGACGATGTGGAAGCTTCTCACTTAAGCCTACGCAAGAATCTCTTTCTTTTCGCAAGGCAGCCTTGCCATGCCGAGTATATGGTTAAGCTGACCTTTGGCTGTTGGAACTGCAGGTTCATGTATGGAGTGATGCCGTACGTGAGCTGCCGGCTCAGTTGCAGTTGACTCGCAGGGAGTGGGGGAGGTTCTCTGAATTTTCTCTGATGAGTCCCAAAGGTCCCTACCTCCCCGAGTGCATGAACATTCCGAAGGATTTCAACCCTGAGGAGTCGGCGCCCCAAGGATTCCCAAGGATTCTTGGAAGGAGGCGCAAGGGGATTCGCACAGATCCTTGGAGGTCCTACATTGACGAGATCGTCGGCTTCCCCCTTGCCGCAGCAGCCAAGCTGCGCATATCCATGCACATGTGATCATGATTGCTGCCTCTTGTAATAATCAATGTCGCTGTCGGTACTGCATTTTTTCATGCTACGGAGGCCTTGGTGTTTTGTGTTTTTGGGATGCGTGTTGGTCCAGAAAAGGCTGGCTTCTACTACCAGATCACCAACGGATTTGCCTTAGACTTCCCCTACAGCATCATCATGTTCCCCTGCACCATGGTGGAGTGGATCATCCGCTGGCACATCTACACCTAGGAGACGACACCCTTGGGCAGCAGAGGCTGCACACGATTCCCTTTGTCCCATAAGGAGCCCAAATCTGGCTCAATTTGAGTTCACAACTCCCTTCGGCCCTACGGTCGCACCGCACAACTCCGCCTCTCCGCCGGCTCTCCGCCCCTTGGGAAAAGGACCCTCTTTGAGAGTGTGGGAAGGCTGTTGGGGGCAAACTGACTTTCTTTTAAAGCTTTTGGACTGTGAGTTGACTGCATCGCGCAAGCAAAAAGAGGCGCCCCCCCCCCCCCCCCCCCCACAGAGGATGTCAGCATTTTGCTCAAGAAACTGCCGTGAGCAAATCCTCTAATGCGTGCAGCCTGGAGGCTACCAGCTCTGCCGGATGATGTCTGCATCAAAGGAGCTGAGCTTAATATTCGGTGTATTGACAAGGAGACTCTTTTCTTCAGGCCTGGCTGTGCATATTCCTAGGATGTGGCAGCTGCAATTGCGGGAGAGCTCGACAAAGGCTCCCAGACGGGCACCCAGAGACGATTCAGTTCCAGGGCCGTGGTGTGTCGAGCCGTATGTTTACGTACGCGTGGCCTAAGTGACGCAGAGGCCGGATGCTGTGGCTGCCGCGGCCTATGAGGCCATTTGGAGCCCGAGCCTCAAGGACTCAAATAGATGCTCAAAGAATCTCAATGAGGCTCCTTTCCATGCCGCTGAGGCCAGCAGAACCAGGCTCAAAGAGAGTTTGCGGTCTTCGGCGGCGAGCAGCTGGGCTGAAGTGAAAGAATTTGAATTTGTCTAGTGCCCGTGTGCTGCATCTCAGCTGGCATGATGTACTCGTATAGAGTCGTAGAGATTGCTCCGACAGGGCTCCTACAAACAGGGCTTTGGCATTCAGGTTCCTGATGGAGCTCGACGTGGCTGGCCTCCGCGGATGGTTTCAGGGCTTCTTCAACTTGCCGGAGGCAAGAGACTCTTTGAGCATCCTTTCCTCCTTGAACTGAGACTCTTGTCTTTGAAATCGTCGGGAGTTTCGAAATTCGCCACACTTCCCTCAGCGCTTTTGGGAGGAACTCTGGGCTGGCTTTCTGGCGGGCTGGCCAGCGCCTCTCAGGGCTTCACGGGATTCTGGAAGCGACGTTTGTTGCTTTTTTGTTGTGACCTCCCCGACCTCCCCCCCCTTTCTGTTCTTGGGGTTGAGTTCGTACGACAACATGCGGGCTTGGGTTGAGGGTTGATTTGGTTGAGGGTGTACGGTTAAAGGAGAGGTGCGTCGGGGAATAAAGCATCAGGGAATAAGCATCTTCCGAAGACCGCACATCTTCGCGCCCCGACATGAGTGGATCCACTGGAGCATCAAGCACGCTGAGCTCATTCGACACCACAAGCTTCGAGCAGTCTGAACACCCACGGTTGAAGAGAAGTGTGGAATGGTGGAAAAAATTCAAGACCCTCAAAGCCCAGTAGAGTCTAAAGCCTAGACCGTACCCGGAATGACCTTTTCTGTGTTTTTGTTCAAGTTGAAGGAGCTCTGAAAGTAGGGTGTCTTGATATGAAAGAGTGCGCATCCCCGCTCGCTTAAAGAGCTGAGGCCCTCGCTGCCGGGCAACGAGAACCACGAGCCCCTGCCCTGGTGTGGTTTTAGCGCCCGCATCAAGTTTGTATACGTGTAGACAAGTGTGCATTTCTCTCTGTTTGTAGTATAACTGCCTTCTGTATGTATTGTGCGTGAGTAATTGCAATTAAACGCTTGCGCGCGCCGCCTCGGCAGCCGGGCTGGCCCCAGGACAGGAAAGGAGGAAAGAGGGTTTCTGCAAAAAAAAGGGAGGAAGGGTCCAGGTCCGGGAGTGTGGGGGGGGTGGGGGCTTTTCGTGCCTTTTGAGGCACTCCCTCTGTAGGAGCCGCGGGAAGGCTTGGTCAGGGGGAAGGAGGCCCGATCCGGGTCTGCTTGTTCCAGACGCTTCTCGGCAGGAAGCCGAGGCGAATAAAATAGATATATGTATGTATATCACACATAGAAATATATCTTTTTAGAGGGAGAGAGCGACATGAACAGAAGCGCATATCAATATATTGTTCAGTTCAGATTTGCACGTTTGTGCAGTTGGCATATCCCACAGAGGGAGAGAGCGTGAAGAAGAGTTGCTTTCAAAGAGCTGGGTGGCAAAGCAAGCTTAAAAGACGGCCAGAAGGTCTTGGCTGCCCAGGCTGCTGTGCGCAACTGAGCTTGCAAGGGGCGGCCAGTGACTCTTCTACTCGTACCTGCCCTTTTTGCTAGACAGGTTTGGTCTCCAGCTTGTCACGAAAATCCCCTTGCCAGTGGCCGGAGCCCAAGTGCGCACGATGGCAAGTGGGATTCTACTGGAGTGGGTCGCATTGATCTTGCAAGAATGGCACGCTGGCTGCGTGCGCAGCCATTCGACAGCCAGTAGAGAGACAGCGAGGGCCCACCCAGCTTAGGCGTTGAAATTGATCGGCGGCATTGCCCGGTTCTCGCTGACGTATGGTGCTACCGGAGCTCCACATCCACATCCACATCGGGAGGTTAGCGTCGTGAAGTGTGCAGGTACATCATTGCTTCGCTCTGTCACACCATTGTTCGGCTCTCCTCCGAGCTATGCCGGCAGCTCAAAGGATTGTAACCAGGCTTTTGCGAGGTTTCTTTACGTGTGGAAGTTTCTCCACGCCTCCTCGAGGCGTGGACACCACCTGTGCCGAAAGAAGAGGCCGAGTGCGGATGAAAGGAGCACAGGTCTCTTCAGATTACCGCCTACCTTCAGAGGTTGGCGACGTGGCCGCCAAATGGGAAGCCATGCGAATGATAAAGGCGCGTATGTACGACTCCCGCCATTTCCTTCCTGATCTTATTTGCCCTTTTGAGCTTAGAAGGGTGACTTCAATGCGCCGAGGAGGCTCGGGCCGTGAAAGAGCCCGAAACGGTGAGCCCGGTGAGCCGTGAGCCAGAGTTGGCCAAAAGTGGCCCCAAAGCCTGATGCAACCTTTGATTTGCTGTTTTTCCCAGTTTTCCGGATGGTCCCTCCCTCCCAACGCAAAAGTGGTGGCTTTTGTCACCTGTGTTGCACTTGATGCCTTGCAGAGAGACTGCAGAAAGATTATGGAGGCACCCGGGTCGCACTGCGTGACAGCCTGTTGGCATCTGCCCTATCAGGACTGGACAGTGCCGACCCAGCGAATGCAGGCCCAAGATCTCTCTCAGTCCGTCGGCACCGATTGCAGCTAAGCTGCGCGTGGCCGAGCCAGGAGGAGATCCGCCACTTGCAAGCTGAAGCCTTAGTCCAAACATTCTCGCGGAGCCTTCTGCGCACTGGAAATTCTCCGCAGGTGCTTCAAGAAGCTGAAGTGCGCCAGCTCCTGCAGCACTTGGACCATGCAGGCCGGAGAACGTGAGAGATCTTATTAATGAATATACGAGAGCTTTTCAGCTTTTCCTTGTTTGAGAGAGCATACCCGTGTGCTGAGAGCTCTCAAAGTCTCAGGATCCGGAAAGGTGTCCTACCAGAACTTCAGATCGATGGTCGTAAGGTTCCTGTCGACCAGGCACTCAAGAGAAGAGAAGACAGAAAGCAGAAAGAAAGCTCAGAGCATCTCCTGGGGATACTTCGATTTGCATATACTTCGATATGGACGAGCTTATAGTACGTGACCACTCACCTCCTTCCAACCTCTTGGGGCCTTTTTCTTTGTTGTGGCAGTCGGGACTTCCACTCTGCTTTGTCTGCGGAAGAGTTCAACGCCATCATGTTCAGGATCGAGGCAAGACATGGTGGCCATCTTTGTTGTGTCTCATAACTTATGTGTCTGGAGGTTCCAGAAGAGTGTTTCGACGGTACAGAGCCTGTTGGCCCATGAAGCAGAAGCGAGGCACGGCTGGCCTCCAATGGCACGACAATTGGGCAGGCCGCGCACGATTTCGAAAGCAGTTGCAAGCAAGCTGCAAGCAAGCTGCAAGCAAGCTGCCGTGTGTCCTTGCGAAGCCCAAAACCCGACAGCGTCCGACACTCGCAAAAGAGCGGATGCCGACAGGCCCTTTCAGAGCTCGACGGCAGCAAGACAGGGGCTCTGACAGACGCGGAGTTCATGCAAAGCCCGGCGCTTTGCTGGGCTCAGCCAAGATGCTTGGGGATATTTGGGGGTGTTGCGCACCCCTTTTGGCTTTTAGGATTCTGGCCCAGGCCTCCGCATGCTACGCCTGGGCCTCTCCAACAAGGAGGTGGCGCAGGTCGGGGAAGCACCGAGTCGCATCTCGCAACATCCTCTCAGCTCCGCGCAGTCCGACAGTTCCGGCAGGTGTTCAACTCATTGAGTGCCAACTCCTTCAAGGCTGCAGGCAAGTGCAGAGCTTCTGGACTCGCCCCCAGGACACCCTTGAAACGCTCTCGGATATGCCAAACAGGCACTTCAGACCTGCCCAATCCGCTCATGCGCGGCCAGGCTCGACACCTAACATGACCGCCATGGACCGACTGGTTCAACCTCTGTTTGCACAAGTTTACACCTTTTTCGGGTTGCTCCTTGGCTCCAGGTGTCGATTCCCCTGTTCGCCTCCTTAGTGGCCAAGTGCAGCAAGGATAGTCGCCTGAAGGACCTCTGCAAGTATTCCCACCCCTGCAACTTGACCTCACAGCTCCTCGAAGGAGGCAGCAATGGCGACCTTCAGCAAGATTCGAGAGGCGGAAAACACAGTTTTCGTGCAAAAGGTCATATGAGGGGGGACAGATTTGGCCATGGATGCCTCTCGTTGTGTTGCGAGAGGTCCCGCCACCTTCGCTGAAGCCATCGTCCGAGTCCTCTTCACCTTGGTCGAGGTTTCTGAGGCGGGACCTCGCATCCTGTAGAGAACGGCAGAATTTCGTTCCTGTGGAATGCATATTCGAAACTCCCGCTGGCTTCAGGCACTATGCGGAGCCACCTGTGCGGCAGTACTTGGTCAGCCTCAAACCTTGCAGCTGTTCAATTCTGGTCCCTCAGTTTTTCAGTGAATCCACCAATGATGTATAGTAAAAAATATGTGCTCTGCAGCGCAGCTTCCACAGCCGGGCTATTTGGGGCAACTGATCTATAGGTTTACTAGGTTCTTGTGAAGAAAGCTCATGTATAAGGTACCAAGAAGGGCTTGTATATCGAGCAAACCTCATCTTAACGTGCGTGCTCAACCCTGCAAAAAGAAGTCGGGCGCTCCGCTTATCTCGGCGCCTCTTGGTCACTGCCATGCCGGAGTCCGCATCCGGCAGTTGACCAACTGCCATGCTGGCTCTTTGCCCCTGCAATTGAGAACGTGTTTTCTGGTCCATGTTGTGGAGTTGAAATGGGCCAATGGGTTGGACTGATTCGCCTGGCGCCTTGGAGCTTTTGAGAGGACCCACGCCCGCTCTTCCGTGGCGCGGGCTGGATCTCGGTGGCACTGCTGCTGGCCGACGCAGCTCGCCGGGCCTACGAAATCCGGCTCTATGCCATCCAGGCCCTTCAGTGTGAATTGCGGCAGCGGAACAGCAAAGCAGCAGGCCGAAAGGCCTGATAGACAACGGAGAAATGCATCTAAGGAGTATGGCCCAGTGATTCATGAGTTTGACCCCTGGTTCAACTTCCGTGCCGCAGAATACTTGGCAAACCATGGATGGAAGAGGTGGCTCAGCTCATCCCGGCTCTTCTGTAAAACGATCCTTTCCTTTTGGTTGTACTCCAAATGAAGGAGCTTCTGCTTTGTGCTTTTGGGCGCCGTTCAGGCGTTGCTGATTCCTAAGGTTCTTCACCTGGTTCGACCACCAGTCCTGGTATCCACTGGGCCGTCCTGTGGCAACGATGCTTGTCTTACGTAAGCCTGTGGCTCCAGTGACACATCTTCGCACTTGTGGTGGCTCAGCACGCTAGCAGTTGCGATGGCTTCTGCGGAGCAGGACCATCTATCCTGGTATGCAGATCACGGCCGTGGCGTTGTGGCGGCTCTTGCAGCAATGGGATCCATCGTGGACTCTGAACTTCGTTTGCTGCTACATGCCAGCATGGCGGCCTGTCCACGATAGCTGTAGAGTGAGAGAGGGAACCGCTGCAAACGGCTCTGCCCGATTTGTCCTCCGCAGCGACAATCACAGTCCCACCTCCCCCATGTTTTTTGTTTCTTGTTTTGTTTTCACTCTCTCTGTCTCTGTCTCTCTCTCCCTGTTGCTCTGGTCTCTGCACAGGTTCGGGGCTGCGTCCGCCGTCTTCGCGGGGCTCCTGGCCATGGAGTGCTCCGGTTTGGGGGCCGCGGCGGTGGTTGCCAGCTGGGTCATGGCCATCCTCCCTGCCCACCTCTCGCGTTCCGTTGGTGGAGGCTCAAGGGTTGGCAACTCGCTGTTTCGCTGTTTCGGCGCAGAGGGAAGCTTGTGGTTCTTCTTCGTGTTGCTGTCTGGTTGTCTCAGGAGTCTCAGTTCAATAAAGGCAGCTACCAATGGCTAAAATCGAGAAAGTTTCACCCGTACAAAGATTTCGTCCCCCACCAGACTCTGCAGCCGTGAAGTCATGGTCCCAAGTTGCCCCGAGGCTTTGACAACGAGTCGGTCGCGATGCCCGCCATGTGCGCGACCTTCTTCTTTTGGTGCAGGGCCTTGCGGTCCCCTCAATCATGGCCTCTTGCGGCAATTGCAGGGCTCCTGCCTCGGAGGCTGTTACACAGCTATAGAAAACTCACTACTGCAACCGCATCGCATGTCAACGTCTAAAGCCGCACCGAGGCTGGCCTATGCGTACATGGCAGCATCTTGGGGAGGCTACATCCTCGTGCTGACTCTGGCCTTGATGTTTAGTCGGGGGGATCAGCGCGTTTTTAAGCTGTGCTACGTGCGTGTGTGTGTGTGTGTGTGTGTGTTTGTGTGTGTGTGCGCAAATGCGTGGCAAAGTCTGCTGTGGGTCTTCTCAGGAACATGGTTGGCCTGCACGCTGGCTTCTTGATGTTGCTGGGCTCGGAAGGTCAGCTCTATGCCGCGCAAGCCCCAGGTGGTCCCAAGCTGGTAGAGATGGCATCTCTCCTTTGTTAATGCCACCATAGAGCGAGGCATACACCCTCTTCTTCACTGTGGGCACCGCATTGGCCATTCAGGCACGAGCAGCGCTGTCAACTCATCAAGCTAGATACGTACCCCGTTGCTGAGATGCCCACATCTTAATATGGCGACTTACCACAATCCTGCCCCTGGCGCTAATTTTTCCTGGGATTGTTTGGTGTCTCTCTCGTATAGCAGCATAGCAGCCATAGAATATTAAGTAGTATGTCAGGTGCCGGTGGTATCTTGGACCCCGTTGCGCTCAGCAGAGCAGCTGGGGCCACTGGTGCTCTTCATCGTGCTCCAGATCCGTAAGGCCAGGGCTGCCTCCGGGTCAAGGAGCTATATGGACACCAGATCAATCGGGGAGCAGCTGAAGGACTCTGCACTTGTTTGGCCAGTTTATCTGCCCACGTGCCCAAAGCGTGCCCGACCTGTTCAACAGTTTGCCTATGGCTGTTTGTACTCAGTCAAGCTTCTGGAAACACACAAAGCCGGTGTGACTTCTCCAAGACTACAACTTGAGTCGCTCCTCGTGAGTATAGCATCTTCGTTTTAGGCTTCGCAGATAGCAATAGTGTTCGGAGCAGTGGCAGGCGTTGCAGTTCACCAAACCCAGCGCTCTGCGCGAGCTTGGTTTCCTGGCCGTCCTTGTTCTGGCTGTGGCACTCCTCATCCCCTCAGGTGGGGCAAACAAGTGCCAGCATTTCTGGGCTCTGGCATTTCGGGGTGCCTGTATGGGTTGTAGACAAGTTGTAGATTGGTCGAGAGTCTGTTTTCGTCATTATTAGTGGCTTTGGCGGGGGGGGGGGGGGGCTTTGCAGGCCTGATTGGGCCCTTCTCGGTGAGGGTCCGCGCCCTCTTCGTGAAACACACCAAGACAGGGAACCCGCTGGTGGATTCGGTCGCTGAACACCAGCCCGGGAGCTCCGACGCCTACTTGAACTACCTGGGCACGGTGTATTTCCTGGCACCTTGGGGCGTGCCAGCACTTCTTCTGAGGCCACGCCGGGACTTGGCCCTCTTCTTGCTGGCGCTGGGCGCCGTGAGCCTCTTCTTCTCGCTGCGCATGCGACGTCTGGTGAGCCAGCTGAAGCTTTCAGGCTTATAGAGGGCTCTGGGCTGAGGGGGTGGCCGACAGAAGACGCGGGGCTCTTGTGTGTTGGACTTCTTGGACATGTCTATAGGGGCAGCGTTGCTTCATTGCTTTGGAAGCTTTTAACATATGGAAGGGTCGCAAACGAAGGTGATCTTGATGGCTCTGCCCGCCTCGGCGCTGACGGGCTGCGCGCTGGGCCAGGCTTTCGACCAACTCTTGGCCCAACCGATTCTGAATGGCGGCAGCAGTGGCAGCAGTGGCAGCCATGGAGCATGGGCCAAAATCTCCCAAGTGTGGAACCGGCCCATGGTTCGCGCTGTGCGGCTCATCTCTGGTTTCTGTCTCGCTTATTTTCTTCGGCCCCACGTCGAAGACTTCGCCCAGTTCTGCGAGGACAAGGCCCGCTGGTCCCTCTCACATCCTCAGATCGTCACCAAAGCCCGGAATGGGGCTTTGATCGATGACTATCGAGAAGCCTACCACTGGCTCAAGGAAAACACCCCAGAAGATGCTCGGGTGATGTCTTGGTGGGACTATGGCTATCAAATTGCTGGGATTGCAAATCGTACCACTTTAGCTGATGGTAACACTTGGAACCACGAGCACATCGCCATGTTGGGCTTGTGCCTTTCCTCGCCTGTGAATGAGGCCCACGCCATTGCCCGACACTTGGCGGACTACGTCCTTGTTTGGGCTGGGGGTGGTGGCAAGGATGATGTAGGCAAATCAAAGCACATGGCACGCATCGCCAACTCCGTCTACAGCGGGCATTGCGCGGAGGATGATTGCGACGAGTACGGCGTCTTTCCAGATGGCCGCCCTAGCAAGATGATGCGGGAGTCCCTGGTGTACGGCCTCTGCGGAAGGACTGAGCTGGATGCCAGGCTCTTCGAGGAGGTCTACTTCAGCCGCAATCGACGCGTGCGCATCCTGAAAGTGCACCAAGTCTCCGAAGAGTCACGGGCCTATGCAGCGGATCCCAGCAACCGCCTTTGCGACGCCCCTGGGAGCTGGTACTGCCCTGGACAATACCCCCCACAGCTGCTGCGGCTCTTCCAAGACACCTCGAACCTCACCGAGTCCGAGTCGGAGGCCCAAAGCTATCGAAAGGCCTACGAGGCCCGCGTCCAAGCGCAGCTTCTGCAGCGGCCAGAAGCCAATGGAGACAATTTGCCCGAAGGCAGCTACCTGGGCTCCTGCCGGGGCTGTCGGTTGGTGGACTCGATACTTCGGTGCACCCACTGTCGCTTACCCGGATCACCCTCGATGGCCTCTTCTCTGGATTTGGCAACTTGTTGGATTCAGCAGGTCAACAACATCCACGGACAGCTGCAGTGTGAGCCGAAGCCCAACGACGAGAACATCCCGGCTGGCAGGTACCAGCAGTCGTGCAAAGGCTGCGAGCTCCAAAGCGGACTCCTTGCCTGCAGCCACTGCTCCACAGCGGCAGGGAAGCAGGTCCCATCGACCTTTCGCCCAGAAGACTGCCCATCTCCTGCACAAATCGACAACGACAACGGGAAGCTCACTTGCCAGGGTCTGCCAAATGAGGGCACGGTCCCAGAGGGGCCCTACCTGAAGTCCTGCCAGGGCTGCCAAATCCTCCAAGGCTCGCAGAAGCCTCCCGAGCTCCTCTGCAAGCTTTGCCGCCGAGCTGACGGACAGCAGATACGAGCGGAATTCCCCGAGGTGCACACACGATGCCCAGCTCCGTCCCAGCTTGACAACCAGGATGGCCGCTTGATATGCGTCGGCAAGAAAACAGGGAGTCAACATGATGGGATGGGCCGTCCTCACGGAAGGATGTCATTGGAGGTCATGTTCGGGTATAGACACGGTATAGACTTTCGGGACAGGGAGGGGGAGGGGGGCATGCGACAGTTGGCGAGAAGTTTGTCGTTCACAGATTATATGTTCATGTCATGAATGGTTGTGTGATATTTCGCTCGCCGGGGTGCAGACACAAACATGCGACTCCACGCTGACATCGTTGTGCTTGTGCGCTCGCAGAACTTTGGTGCCTTTTCGACGCTGCTAATGGACCTGGACCAGTCGATAACGCGGCTGGCCCAGACCACTTGGGCCAAGGAAGGTCGGGAGGTCGGGTTCAGGGTCCATGATGTAGCTACGGGTGGGGCAGCTACAGCAGCTATGGCTCCTCTTCAGGTCTCCAGACATTGGCCGACTCTGGCCGGAAGCTCGGATCGCTCGCAAGGGCGTTGTGCAGCGACTCATCTTGATTTCCAGGTGCGTCCTCGAGAAGGATGACCAAGCGGCTGGGTGCCAAGAATCTCTGCGCAGAGCATGTCAAAGAAACACAAGTGACACCAGTGACACAAGTTGTGTCACTGGTGTCACTTGCGTTTTTTTGCACATTTCCGTGCTGCCGAACTTATTAGAGAGATCCGCCGTGTTGCTTGCAACCATGCTTGTAACTTGTCTCAGGAAGAGCCGCTGGTGCGCATCGAGGCCCATCTTTTCCGTCGACCCCCCATCCCTTCAATGGCACGTCTAGCTTGTTCCTTGTGCCTTACGCGATCAGGAGCTCCTGCGCTGGATGGGGTCCGTTTCCTGAGGCTCACTGAAGCAGCCCATGCGTGTGACAGCCTAAGCCGACGTTGCTGATGCGCGGGTGCAGGCATGTCTTGCCGGAACGCGGCGGACTCCCCCTTTGGCTGAGCGAAGCACGCCTGGCCATGTGATAACGATAACGCCTAGGCCTATAGACCAACCGAGAAAAAACAAGATTGTCCCAAAGTTGGACAGCACTGCGGCTCTGGGCCCTCGGCGAAACAATGTGCGGCACCTCACACAACGACAGCCCATTACTCGGCTACTCTCTGCGTTTTCTCCTTGTCCCACGAGATCCCATACCTTCGGCACGTCAACACCTTGCACTATCTTGCAATGTTGCAGCGAGCACGCTCCATTTTTGGCGACTCTGACACGAGCGCTGCGGGCTTGTTGTGTTTGGTTTTGCGCGCGCGGCCGCGTCTGCAAAAACACGAGCATTTTTTCGTGGACCTCAACATCCTTGGCGCGCTTAAGAACTAGAATAGGACGATCACGGACGGGCAGGATTCGCATGGATGCGCTCCGTCCATGTGAAAGTAACCGAGCAACCATGCGGACCGCCTGTCAGTCTGCAATCCACAACGCAGAGATCGCCCATTCTCAGGTGCTATGAACCGCGAGAATGTTCGGTTGGTCGTTTCATATCTATTTTCTTCTTTTCCCGGCCCATGACAACATTCCTTTTGTGTGGGGTGTCCAGTGTCCAGCCCTTCTGCTGCGCATTTGACATCCTGACATTTCCCGCAGAGGCTCTCCAGGACAAGATCCCTTTTTCAGCACTAGAGATTTTTTGCGGCTTTCGGTTTTTCGGTCGTCGGTACTCTTAAGATGGCGGCATGTACTCGCAGCACAGACGATGCCCCTCTTGACGATGACGACATCGTCCTGATCCCAGAAGAGGTCATGCAGCAGGCAAGATTGGCCATGCAGGAGGCCGAAGTCCATGAGGTCATCGGCTTGACCAACAGGAGCCCCAAACTGACTCTGACCGCCAACAGGCAAAGCTTGAAAGCCTTGTCCTGTCAAGCTGATGAGATTGAACCCTACTTCTCAGTCTCATGCCTTGGGCCTACGGGCTCGGGCAAGAGTTTCTTCATCACCAAGTTGCTGACGGCTCTGGGTTACACAGGGACCGTGCCGTATAGCATCGATTTTAACGAGACCGATGTGGGTGACATCACTCTCTCAGTGACCTGCAACATCAGCTGCTACCTCGCCGGCTCCAAGTTGCTCTTTGACGTGGAGGGGACCGATGGCACCCTGCCGCTGATGCAGCGGATTCTGATGGGCCTGGGATCCCGCTGGCGTTTGTCGGACGAGGAAAGGAGGTTGCAGCAAGAGAGACGAGATGCGGTGGCGGAGTTCTTTCCAGCCATTGCTTTCACCATCTCTAACACCATCATCTACATCACCCGTGAACCTTTGAAGAACAGCAGCACAAGTCAAGCAATCACAGCCTTCGCTGCCAGCATTGCGAGATCCAGCACCAGTGTACGACCGTATTTAGTGATTGTGCACAACTTATGCCCACTGAATCAGTTGAGGACAGGAAAAGCGAACGAGGAAGCCCTGGCCAAGGAGTTTTTGCGGACTCATGATGATTCCAACTTTCTGACTGAGACCTTTCGAGGCGTTTGGTGTATGACCTTTCCAGATTGCAATGTGGTGGACAAAAGGAAGAACATCGATGGGGAGGTGGTCTTTGATCAACAGTTGAAGTGTTTCTCGTGGCTGTTTTGCATTGTGTGTTTACTTTTATCCGGACTCGGTCTAACTTGTGTGAAGAACCGTGGCATTTTCAGCAGGGGATCGCACTATCAGGTTCGGACTTCGCACAATCGATGAATAGTATTACGGGTGGCATCGCATACCGCTAGTCAGGTTTGTGCGAGTTGCTGTCCGAGCAGCATGAAGAGAACAAGTTGGTTCGTCGCAGGCTCCATTGCGCCCTTCCAGGCAAGTCGCTTCTGACGATTCTACCTGAAATCGTGCAACAGGTGAACGAGAAACGGCCTGTGTCAATTCCTGACATCCTCAGGACCAATCTGAAGAACGATCCAGATACGGATTGTTTGGTGCTGAGGCGAACTTGGACAGTTGTCCACAGCTTTGTGGCGGGAAGCTTGGCGGCGGAGATTCTTCGAGGCCAGACGTTGAAGGACGCCTTGTCACTTTGTATTGGCATCTCAGCCCACTACTTGGCCTGGAAGCTGAAAACGCAAGAAAAGGCAGGATTTCCGGATCAGTGGGTGGAGGACTGACCGTTGCAATTACCAAATGGTTTCGGTTTACTACGGCTTAGCACGGCTTACCCCGCAAATTTCAAAATGGATCATCACTGTCTGGAGTAAAATGACAAGTTGACTGGCGTGCACTGGGCATGGATAATTATTTCTAACTTCGGTGCCTCGTCTGTGTTTACTATAGACTGTCAGAGGGGCGGTGGCGACCTGAGGATCAAGCAGCTTCCTTGCATGCCAAGCAGATGGATTACTTGACCATGGTCTTTGCAAGATGCCAGGCGGTCTCACCTCATGGATATGACAACGTGGCCAAGCCCATGGCATGTAACGCTCGTCTCCTGGGCCACGACTGCCACATCACCGGGGAACAGGTAATCCCATCCAGGTTCAATTGGTTTCGACGGAAGGTCACCATGAAGCTCTTCGGCGGCATTTTCGACCGCTGGGAGGGGAACTTCGAGTCCGACCCAGTGCTGAAAGATGCAGGTGGATGGCAAAAGAAATGGTTCCCACTTCGGGAACCATCACCATGCTGTTGGGTTTAGGCTACTTTGGTGGTTCATTCGGGGGGGTATGAACTGCCCCATGAGGTCTTTGGGGCAAAGACATCATGCAGCAAGAAACCGTTGCTGCGGTGCGGCTGCTGCGGGTCAGCACTCCTTCGTCGGACTCTTCTTCAAGCCTTCGAAAAAACTCGAAACACGGCTTCCACCAACACAATGCCGAGCACTTACGCGACTGGTGTCAGATTCTGAAGATCACCCCCAAGGCGGGCAAAGAGAAACGAACCACGCCGTGTCAGTTCAGCCTTGCTAGAATCCACTTATCGCACTTGCATGATAGGGGTCCCCATGCTGGCCATTGAGTTTGATGAACAGTGCACAGGGAATACGCATGTTTTCCCAGCAGGTGGCGAAGCAGGCCGAAAGCAAAACCACCATTGTTGAGGACCTGAAGTTCCGCAATCATTCATTCTGCTGCGTCTGCTTCACCTTGGTGCAAAGCACACAGATCGACCTGCATGTGTGCTCGGAGTGCGTCTCCTTGTTCGACGGGATGGGGTTTCGCAGCCTCTTTCCTCGGTATTGGAGCTGGCAGGCCCAATTTACAGATGGCCATTTCCAAGTGCAATTGGTCACCGCGGAGCTTGAACTTCAAGTGTTGAGCAGTCTCTTGCAAGTCAGTCAGCCCCATGAACTTGGGAAGGGCCATGATGCTGAAAAGAAGCTGCCTCCATACAGTTCCCTTGAAGTGCAGCATGCCTGGCGGCTGGAGAACTGCAACCTTTGGCAGAAATTTGACAGCGGCAGGCGCCACGTTGCGCGGGACTTGAAGATACTGAGGCAAAAAGCCGGTGAGGGGGCTGACATGGTCCTATCCACCAAGATTGACGAGAGGACCCAACCTTTGATGCAAGAGGCTGACACGGCTGCTGGTGGAGTCATGCTGCTACATGGCACCAAGCCACTTGCCGGGTTCAGCACTTTTGTTCATGTGATCCCCCGTTATGAAAATACGTATCGTTGTCCAAGAGCCGCATCTGGGACCTACAGTGCTTTAAATGGATGAGTGTATCTTGAGAAGAAAGGCCAGAAGTCGTCCTTCCGATCGTGAACAACGGCATGAACGAACGCCTGGCATCTGGTGTTGCTGCCTTCGGGACTGGCAGTTACTTGTGCGAGGATGCGGAGAAAATGGACCAATATTGTCGGCCAGCGACATCTTCCCAAGCCCAAGAGCTCCAAAAGGCTTTGTTTGCTCAGAATGGTGTCCAGAATTTGGACGCTTGGGCGTCAACCATTCCCACGTCACGTTTGTTTTTATTTGCTGTGGTGATGACTCGACAAAAACTACAAAAATATTTTGGCTTTGCATGTCGGGCCATGTAGTTGTCCAGGGTTTCCAAGCATCAATCAAGAGCCAACCACGGTTACTTGTCAGCAGCCATGCTTGTCTACGAAGACAAGATCCTTGGGGCATCCGGTTTTCTGCAGAAACGTCCGTGAGCGACTTGAATGGATGGCTATGGTTGAAATTGCTTAACGACAAATAATCCAGCATTTGTTGGGCGAAAGCTTTGCGAGCCAGAGCCCCAATATTACAGGAGCTGTTTCTCGATCATGGTCTTTCATTCTGCTGGCCCTCAGATAGCTGATGACACATCATGATGATACGCGTTCTGAAGGTGCCGCGCCATGCTTGCAGTACCTGTCAGATGGATGTGTGTGTATATTCAATATGCACGCGGGCAGTCGTTTCTAAAACTGAGGCAACCCTAGCAACGTTCCTACAGGGTAGTCGATCCATTTTGGGCTCATTTTTTGGAAGCATCCACATTAAAGTGTTCTTTTCTTCTCCAGATTGTCCAGCGATTGTCTGTCAAGGAGGGCTTGTGCTTTTGCTTCGTGGTCCGGGCCACCTGTGGCAAGCCGATCTATACCCGCGGCCTGACCCGCGATGAGGGGGCCATGCACGACTGCGAGACTGGTGAAGCCATTTTCCTGAACCGGCAGAGGCGCGAACTCGCGCAGGTTCCTGGAAGTGATGCAGCCAGGCCGATCTACCATCACTCTTTGGTGGTGAACACAGGCAAGGCTCTGAAACGCTTCCGAGAGATGGTGGTGTACCACGACACCCGTGTCTATGCCGAGTACCTCATTGCCTACAAACGCATTTGAAGGATTTCGTCGACAGATGGTAGTGGTTTTATTATCTGCGTGGCCAATCCTGAAAGGATGCCAGGCTACAGATCAAAGTTTGATCTGTGGCAGGGAAAGCTCCACTGTCGTAATCTTCTCAATCGCCTTGACAAAATGCACTGAGTGTTGTTCACAGTGCACGTGCTTGCAATTCTCATGCGGACATCATGCTCGACTGTGAACAGTGTGTCGTACACATGAGCACAGCATGGTTGGTAGACCAAGTTCTGCACAACCTCGGACCTGGGACGGGGCAAATCCCTTATGAATATCGGGATAGACCACCAGAAGCACATCGAGCCTATCAAAAAAGGGACGCCGTAGACGTGATGGAGCTTGCAAACCGGAAAGGGGGGACAGACCCAGCAGACATTTGGGACATGACTGAAGCATTTCTTGCCCTGGAAACCTGGAAACCTGGATGCAAATCAATTTCACAAGGAAAAAAATGCATCTATAAGTAAGCAGTTCTCGTCGGCAACGCTGCGCGCACCATTTTCTGGAAGCCTTTCCTCTCGCATGACTTCTGCAGTAAGAACGACAGGGACCATGCTCTCGACCAGACAGCGAATACAAAGCGACTTTGTTGAATTAATGGTGGGCATGTTGAACCAAATGTCTTCAAAACTCACAGGTCTGGTATACACAAAGCAGGAAACCGTTGAGGAGCGCTTGTTACAAAACGAAAAACTCTACGACTTCGCCTTCAGGGTGCTCCTCTTCTCGCATAAGCACATGCGTTGACCACTGAGAGCTTCGTATTGGATCACTTCTGGAGCTTTCCGCCTTCGCAGAACTTTGCCCGGCCATTGCATTCTTGATCGGGGCCGCTCTTCTTTCGACTTAAAACTTTAGGCTCCCTTCCTCAATCTCCGTACTAATTTCCCGGGCCTTATTATAACTTACTAATTAGCCCGGTTATTAATAGTTAAAACGTGAGATAAAAGACCTATTGAAGGATCACCAAGAATTACTATATTAATGAGCTTGGAAGTGATTTTATTGGGGATTTTTCTATTTCTCTTTCTTCACCACCCAGAAATCCTTACAAGATTATAGATTTATTATTAAAAGTCATGATTTCGTTCACAATCATAACTTACGAACGAAGAAAGAAAAATATGAATTTTACACGCCAGGCTCATTATATTGTATTCGCATTCCACGGTTTGCTCAGGCTTGCCCTTCTGGCAAACCCTGTTGTATCAAGCAATTGTACTGTAAGCCTAGAGATCGTCGGTTGGGATAGTGCTGCAGATTGTTGCAGTGTTGCCATGTGTTGTAGCACGGAGTAATGTGGGGTATGCTGCTCTGCAGCGCTACAAGTCTTGGAGGCCGAGACCACTTGACACGATTGATTGCTCAGGATTCGCATATCTGAGTGCCCAGAGGGTAGAGCCATCTTCAGATTTTCTGCCCGCCGCGTCACGCCCTCAGTAGTCCACACGGTCACAAGCAACACAGTTTGTTCCCGGTGTGACGATTGCACTGCTGCGACTGGGGGGTGGGATCCTGAACCTAAGCCCTAAACCCTTTGGTTTACGTCAGGACTTTGCAGAGCAGCTTGAGGAGCACGAGGTTCAAGCAGACGCGTTCCACTTTGAATTGATGGGCCCTGTTGTGTTGGCACTCGCCCGCCTGTGCAGGCGCATCAGTACGCGCGCGCGCGTACTAGTTCCTCCAGGACCCAGATCTTATTGTGCATGCGTCAGTGTCTTTCCCACCCCTGGAAATCTTGCAGGTTGTCTAGGGTCTCATCCTTTGTTTTGCCACCAGAACACTCCTGCAATCCCTTAGCGTTGTGCCGCTCTGTGACCTTGCGGCCTTGTGAGTGAGACGTCGCGAGTTTCAGATTTGACTGAGATTCGGCTTCCACTTGTGAGCCCTGCCAGGACTTCCTGCGTGAGAAGAAGCTTCTTCCGGAGGCTGATTATGTTGTCAAGTTTCACATTTTGAGAAAATTTGCCGGCAGCCTGTCTGCGGCAGATGTCAAGGTTTAAAATGCGCCTCGAGATGTGAACCCGGCAGTGAAGAAAGATAGAGGAACATGGCAACCTGTCCTGCCGCGCGCTCGACGACGAGTGTGAGAAATGCGCATTGCGCCGTGGACTCGGCGAATTATAATGCGAGCGGCATATGCGCGTGCGCAGCGACGACCTGGAAGGAAAGCCGCCCCCAGGATTTCCGCGCGCGTCAGACACTTGTCGCCAGCGATCTTTGGGCGCCTCTTTGCGAAAGGAACCGTGCTCGTGCTTTTGGGCGAGATAACACGTCGCCGGACGTTGGCAGCTTCAAAGAAGGGTGGTACGGTTGCACGACTGCTCGCTGCGCGGCGAGGAGTGCCCCGAGCAAAGCATGATCGCAGGCCCGATCTCTAAACGCCGAAGCCTAATTAAACCTGGACACCGTCCCGTACTCCGTGAGCTGTGGAACAGTCGAATCCGCAAGACAAACAGTGCTTACATTGGGATCTTGCAGGTTCTGGATTCTGGATTGCAATCCCGTGACGCCGTGACACGTGACTTTAAGTCACAAATCGCTGTCTCTGCAAGGGAGGGCATAAAGAAGGGACGCAAGCGTTTCCTTGGCGATGCAGAAGTTGTTCACTCCTGGTTCTTCGTTATCCAGAGAAACAGGAGGTAGGGCAAGGTTGTTCTACGTGGGGAAGAGATGAATTGTTGTCATATGTCTTTGGGTCCCGAGCTTCAATTGTTGTGTCTTCGGCTTCCGGCTGTGCACTCAACACCCTTCATGAGCCCTAAGCTACGTCGAGGCTGAGGAGTCTGTGCAGCCGACCTGCAGCAAACAGGTCAATGATAGCTGAAAGGCACAAGGTCTACTTCGTAAGACTTCGCAAGGTTGATGACAGTTTGACAATGTTGGAGGAGATCCAGGAAATGGTGGATGACAATGTCTTGGGGGAGTACATTCGCGTACTTCTCCGTGAAGGTTAAGGCCGATATCCTGATTTGTTTTGCCCTGAAGCGAGTTAAGGCTTGTGGCTGCGCTCTTGACGTGTGCTTGTGTGCTTTTACGCTTGTGCGCTTGTGCGCTCACGCACGCGTGTGCTTGTCCTCGTGCGCCTGGGCACGCGCGAGAGCAGCTGCGTGCGGCTGCGTGCTGCTGAGTGCGGCTGCCGTGTGGCTGCGTGCGGGCGTGTGTGGTGGATGTCTGTGTCTGTGTGCATGTGGAGGCCTACAGGAACTGCTGAAACAGCTCGACGAGCTCCTGCTGCCGTCGCCATTTAAGGCTCGTAGCCGAGCGGGCAATGCCACGCCAGCTGGATGAATGTCTTATTTTTTGATGCACGCCGAATGTTAACATCGGGTTGTCGCTTTGTCCTCGCGGTTTTTCCTGGACAGCATTTTCTGCGTTCGTTGCACCTGTGGGTGTGATGCCACAGGAGCGCCTCGTGATCGACTTGTTCTCCGGGAGCTGCAGCCTAAAATCATGTCCGTGCGTCTGTGCCGAAGTAACGCTTCCGGGTGAGCTTTGGGTTTCGGGTTCAGGTTTTAAGGTCTCGGAAATGAGTTGGGGAGCTTGGGTTGCGGCTTCAGGGTCTCAAGTTGAAGAACCCGCTCCATTCCGGAAAGAGATTCTTCGAACTTCGGTCTTTGGACTTGCCGCCAGGCTGCAAAGACTCCCCTGGAAAAGTCCAGGTGCGCAAATGGGCCCTCTTGATGTCAGTACTGCGGCAGATGATCAAGTTCACGCGCGGACATCCCGAACTTGACAGACGAGCTTTGCGCGTTTCGCTCATAGAAGGCACATCTTCGTTGGGTTATAATTAGACGATCGCGTAGGTCTCACGCCTACCGCTGCGATGCGAAGGACCTTGCAATTTCTAGGGATGAAGCTGAAGAACCAACAGCGCCTTGTGTTGAGGAGCATTTGCTTGAAGACCTTGACTTTGCAGCGGGCTCAGCAAGAACGCGGATATTCTGAGCTTTAGACTTTAGACATGACGCATGATGTCTGGTAGGACTGATGCCGTGGAGCTCAGCCTGAGTGGTGTGGCTGTGTAGCCCAAGCTGGCTGATGGTTCTTTTTTCGTATTTTTTCTGGTTTTTTTTCGTATTTTTTATGGTTTCAGGTGAGCCCTAAACCCTAAACCCTAAACCCTAAACCCTAAACCCTAAACCCTAAACCCTAAACCCTAAACCCTAAACCCTAAACCCTAAACCCTAAACCCTAAACCCTAAACCCTAAACCCTAAACCCTAAACCCCTAAAAACCCTAAACCCTAAACCCTAAACCCTAAACCCTAAACCCTAACCCTAAACCCTAAACCGTAAACCCTAACCCTAAAACCCTAAACCCTAAACCCTAAACCCTAAACCCTAAACCCTAAACCCTAAACCCAAGACCATGAAAATACGAAAAAAACCAGAAAAAATACGAGAAAAAACCCGGACCCGCCCAAGCTGCTGCTGCACGAAAAGATAGAGGGAGGGAGCCTGAGATAAAGTCTTAAGTCGAAAACAGAGTGGCCCCGATCAAGAATGCAATGGCCAGTCGAAATTCTGCGAAGACGGCGCACTCCAGAAATCATCCATTACGAAGCTATGCTGTTGTTGGGTCTTTGAAGGGCTTTCTTGTCAACAGTTTCATCACACTCGTAACTTGTAACAGGTTCTCTACTCCATAGCCGGGGCTTTGCAGGATGTTGTCTCGTGCGATGGACGAAGTGGGCATAAAGAGGACTGTTGAGGGCCCCAAGCAGATTGCCTCCAGCTCGGGTCGATGAGTTGCGTGTGACAATTCGGCTCAAGCCGCACTGGGGAGGGCCTCCAGCAGTGCGTCTTGAGCTTGGAATCTCGTTTTGGGACACGATTACATATCGTGCAGCTTCGATACGCGCAACATCCTCTATAGTCGAATCGCAGGTCACGGCTTGAGCAACGACAGCCGAAGGCGGGCTGTGCAGTGGCGTCAGTGGCTGTCAGTGACTCAGTGCCGGCAGTGTAGCACAGAGTTGGGAAGGCGGAAACTTTGAGCCCCAGTCGGCTCGAATTCTTCGCTGTTGTCCTGATGTGACTGAAGACTTGTCGCGCCTCGTGCGGACAGCCGCAGTGGCTGCATTTCCTGCAAGCTGCCGATGGTTTCTTGCCTTGTTGCTTGCGCTGGTCCATGCTGGTCCTCGCATGCCCCCGAACATTCGGCGGTTTCTGCGATCCTGTGATTGATGCCGATTTCCTGTCGGCCACTACAAGCATCAGCCCCGCCTCGTTCCTTGGCGCGAAATGGAGACGGTTGCCCCTTTGAGCGTGGCAGCGACAAACACAATAAACAGTAGTCAGGAACCGTCTCTGTGTTACGTCGTTGCTCTTGTGGCTTCTCTCCGGCTTCTGAAGGTCTCCCGGAGGGCGCGGCCCAGGCACATCGAGTGCAGGGGCACGCTGCAGAGCGACTACTGCGAAGCTTGCAGCAGCGGGGCTGCGAGGTCACTCCTGCAGAAGCCCAGAAGGCCACTTGACTTCGACTGGCAGTGACTGCTTTGGTGCCACGTTAGAGGCGTTCAGTGCTTTATCGTGGTTTCTGCTTCAGGTGCTGGCGTCTTACCAAAAATCCCAGCAGTGGCAGCATGCGCTGAATGTCCTCCGATTCCTGCAAAATGCCGACGCCATAAACTATGGCGCAGCCCTCCACGCCTGTACCAAGAGCAGTAGCTGGATGGCTGCATCAACCCTCGTTGTGGGCATGAAGCAGCTAACGATGGAGGCGAACACGATTCTGGCAAACACTTTGATCGATGGCCTTGCACGGCTGTCATTCTGGGAGCAGCCAATGGAGCAGCTGATGGCTATGCGACATCAGAATCTTCGCTACAATCGTGCAAGCTTCGGGCCCGCCTTCTCAGCCTTCTCTTCATCCTCTCCCTCCTCTTCCTCCTCTTCCCCTTCTTCCTCTTGGCAACACGTGCTGGCCATGCTCGGGCTCGCCAGGCGCCTTCGCCTCCAGCCAGATGTGGTCACCTCCGGTGCAGCTTTGCATGCCTTGAAAAACTTGGCATCCTGGAGAACTCCCCTGGACTTCCTCCACTGCATGACAACCGCCGCCACGCTTCCCAACACGGTCTGCTTGACATCTGCAGCAGGCTCATGCCAGGACTGGCAGAATGCTCTTGCGCTGTCTACTAGTAGAGGCCGGCCAGCTCGGGCTCGGCAATTGTCTAAAGTGTTGATTTTTTTTTTTTTTTTTGGGGGGGGGGGGGGGGTTTTGCTGCACCAATTTTCTGAAGCGGGAGGATGCCCCGGAGGTTTCTCGTATAGTACAGCAAAAGACGCAGAAAGCTCTTAAGCACGACGATGGTTCAAGGCAGGAATGTCACAATTGCTCGCTTCGTAGCCTTGAAGAACCAAAGTGTGGTTTATGCGTGCGTAGCGGCGCAGCTGACATTCCAAGATGTGCCATGATGTTGTCTGCTGATAGAATCTCGAATCGCGAAAGGAGGCTTTGGCTGGCTGGCAAAGTGAAAAGCTCTGACACGCCCCCAACAACAAATCGATCTTCACGTTTCGATGCGACATGCCCCTGACCAACAGCATGATCTCCCAACCTTTATATGGGTGCTTATGATCTCTCCCAGTCTGTCCTCTTGTGCCTCTGCCCGACAGGCCCTGGGCTTCACCAAGACGACGTTGGCCTAAGTTCCTTGGTGACGGCATGCCACCAATGCCACCACTGGCAAGCGGGACTTCATTTACTCGGTCGTGGAAGGTGCAGGCCGCTCGGCGAGTGTGGCCTCTCACTCCGGATGTCTGTTCAGGCATTCTCCAAGCAACACTGGGAAACTTCACAGCAGCTGCTTCGCACGATGCGGCGCCACTCGGTGCGCAAGGACATCCTCACATGTACATCATGCACTGCATCTTGCCACACGGACGTCGCTATGGCATGGCCTCTGGCCATGGAAGCAGTTCAAGCTGCCAGGAGTCGCTGTGCTTGCAGAGCAACCGTTTCTGGCAGCAGCCTGCTGCAGCGCATGTTTATGCTCTAACAAGCTGCTATGTCACCGAGAATCGCTTGAAAGCCAATATGTCAAACTAATGAATGACGTCCCCGATAAAGAACGAAACGTGTGTCCGCCCCCACCAAAGCTGCCCTTGACCTCTCTCTCCCGCCCTCCCTCTCCCTCTCCTCCCCAAACAAAATACGGGGTCCCCCTTGTAACACAAGAAACCGCGAGACTGCTTGGCGCAGTCTTCGCGCTCGCTCAACCTCAGGTGAGGGGCTCTGGTCTACGCACATGGGCTCCTGGTCTTCCATCCTGCTGATCTTCAGACAGCTGTGCGGTGAGGTGTGGACTCGCGCCCTCTCGTGTGTCGAGGCACTCAGTGGGGGAGAGTTGTCCACAGCAGCCCGTGCAAGCCTTGCCCTCGGCATGGGCGAGCAGCATTGCTCGGCATGGGCACCTGCCTTGGCTCTTTGCGATTCGGAGCTCGCAGAGCTCGCACCTGGCTCCTTGACCTTCAACGCGGCCCTGATGGCGTGCCAGGCAGGCTGCAACTTTGAGCTTGGGCTGGGCCTTCTGGAACGGATCACGCGCATGTCCGCCCAGCCACACCTCCTCAGCACGGTCAGCACAAGCACCGTCAGTTTCAACATCTTGCTGGGACTGTGCGCGCGGGAGCAGCTGTGGGAGGAAGCTTTGGGCCTCTTGGGCACAATGGCATCGCAGAAGGTGCCGCGCAATGAAGCGACCTTCACCTCCGCCTTACAAGCTTGTGAAGCCTGTGAAGCGGATCGGGGTCAATGGAGTCAATGGCAGAGAGCCCTGTCGTGGTTTCGGGACATGATGGAGATTGAGCCAATTGAGCCGACCACGATCGGCTTCACGGCCCTGATCACAACGTGTGGTAATGCAGTTCAATGGCAGTGGGCTTTGGAGACGTTCAGTGAGATTCGCCGTGTCAGCCTCGTCCCAGACGTCGTTTCGTCCACCGCAGCCCTGAGCGCCTGCGAAAAAGGCTGCGAATGGCAAAGAGCACTGGTGCTCTTTCAGGCAGCCATGCAGCTTCCGGGGGCAGATGTCCTTGTTGTCAACACAGCAATCAGCGCCATGGACAAGGCCAGCCAGTGGACGCTGGCCTTAGCTGTGATGAAGGATCTGGAGGATCGAGAGTGTGTGAGCAATGTGAGCCTGATGCCTGATGAATTCACTCTCAGCGCCGTGATCAGTGCCTGCTCCAGAGGAGCTGAATGGCAGCGTGCTCTGGCTCTTTTGTCAGAGCTGCCTGAAAGAATTCTGCAAGCAAGCTCTGTTGCGTTTAACTCCGCCATCAGCGCTTGCGACAGAGGCTCACAGTGGCTACGGGCCTTGAAGCTGCTCGAAGAAATGCTCTGGCTCAGTTTGCCGGCGGACGAAATCTCATTTAATACAGCAATCAGCGCCTGCGAGAAGGGAGAGCTGCAAGGCTAGTAGGCGATCCGGCCTCCTTTCCCGGGGACTTCGCAGGACAACGAGATGCCAGGAGTATTTCTGGCATCTCGCATCTTCCTGATATCTTCCGTTGCGTGCTGCGTCACCCGCTTGCTGTTTTGGTTTATTTTTGCTCGTCAAGCCTCAAAGCCTAAAGGCTCTCTTGAGGCTTGCAGCAGGACAGGATATCGGCACAGCATGTCGTGTGGCATGTCTCTCATTGGCTGTGAGAGAAAGTTTGAAAGTGAAGCGAGATGCCACGCAGTGTGGTGCCTGGTCGGGGCAGGGGCAGTTAACTTCGCGGTCCTAAGGCCTGGGCTACGATGTCCAGAAGGCACCAGGCGATTGGCGCAGCCCACTCCGGCTAGATCGTGACGATGGAGAATCTGGACCCCGCGAGCATTCACGCACAGCAAGTGATCGTCAGCGAAATCTTCAGGCCCCTTGCAGGTTTATGACGCCAGTCTGAAAAGGGGTCTTGTAAGTTTTCGGTGTATAAAGTCTATATATATATATAACAAGTACTATGCTGTCCAAGTCTTATGAAGTCATCGCCCCTTGCGTGATTTGCAAGCTAGCGCAGTGACCTCTCCACCATGCAGGTCGGCAGAGTGCGAGAGGGCTCTGACGCTTGGCCACGTGCTGAAGGCGCGTGCTGAGAAAGTTCAACAGCGGGAAGCCGTTCCACTCTTACGGATGTCTTGGCGCGCAAAGAAGAAACCTGCACCAACGTCAGGTCTACGACGCAACAATTGCCAAGCACGGCATCAGCGCCTGCGGCTTGGGGGTTGTTTCGCGAGCTGGGACATAGCAGTCCTGAACGTTTACCCCGTGCAACGATAATGCTGTCCATGTGTTTCGGGTTTGCGCCATGACATTATGGCGGGTGAATGTGCGCAAGTTGCTTGAAACTGGCTCGTAGCTTCCGGGATCAAGACTTGCTAGCCGCTCGCCGCTCGCCGGGCTCTGCACACCATGGAGCCGAGAGCCATCTGCCAATCGTGCCAAACCTTCGAGCGGTCTTAAGCTGTCCCGTGCTGTCCATTGCAAGGTCAGGCTGTCAGGTGTTATCGGTGGCTTTGGCTGTGCATCTCAGAATCTCTCACACGATGATGGCACAGGCGCGTCGGGTGCACTCTTTGATTGAGCTACTGTCATGTGCGGCCCGTTGTTGGGCTCAGACGGAGTGATACCTAGCAAACCCCTTTGCTACTCTCAGGGCGGATGCGATGTCAAGATCTGGCGGCCACAGGAGGCCACCGTCCATCTCGCCGACTTGGCCAAGACTGCAGGTGTCCAATCTACGGTCAACGCTGCTGGCCCTAAGTTTAAGAGTTTAAGGGTGTTGGAAGCATTGGAAGCTCTGCAGGGAGAGGGTGTAAGGGCACTGACAGTCTGCGTTGGCTTGCAAGCATCGCAAGCGAGGCGCTAGAAAGGATGAACCCTGGCTGCGAAATTGTGTGCAGACACGCTTGGCAGCCATGATGCTTGATGCTTCGTGCATTGTGTCGGATTCCCAGCTCCTGTCACGCTCAGGCATCGACAGCACCTGCAAGTGTGAGGACCTTAGTGTCTGACAGCTTTCAGGCAGCTCAATGCACTTCCAAACCTCGTCATCAGAATGCTGTAGGGCCTGTAGGGAAGTTGTGGCCTTCTCAGGAATGTGGTCCACTTCAATGCCGCCATGTCTGCGCGCAAATCGCACAGGGGCCAGGATGGCTGGGCGGCAGCAGTGCAAGTCATTGACAGCATGCAGTCCCTCGGCGTCCTGCCAAGCATCGTCAGCTTCAACCAGCTCATTCCTTGGCTTTCACAAGCACCTGAGTCTATCGGCTGGCAGTGCTGGCAAAGTGCTCTTGAAGTGATCGCGAATGCCAGAGCATCCAAGCTGCAGCCGACTACCTCGACCCACAACGCTGCCATGTCTGCCTCTCGCAGAGCCTGGAATTCAGCACTGGAGCTTCTCCGTGGACAGTTGTGCGACGGATTGCAGCCAGACCAAGTCACCTTTGGTGCAGCCATTGCCGCCTGTGAGGGGCAGTGGCAATCAGCATTGATGTTGCATGCAACCTGCCCGATGTATCGCTTGTCGCCTGACATCGTCAGCTTCACGTCCTTGATTCGCGCTTGTGGCAGCTGCCAGCAGTGGCAGATGGCGATGGCAGTATGGGCTGAGATGGCTCGTGTTGGGGGAGTGCCGAACGAAATCACGTTTGGTGTGGCCGTCAGTGCTTGTGAGCATGGCAGCCAGTGGTCCACTGCCTTGTGTCTGCTACATGCTTTGACCGACCAGAGGCTCCTTGTGAATGCAATTGTCTGCAGTGCAGCCATTAGTGCATGTGAGAAAGCCGGCTGCTTGGCATATGCAGTTTATATATGTGTGTATATACAGTTTGTATACATACATACATACATACATACATACATACATACATACATACATGACTTATATCGGCGGTGGGCAGATGGCTACAAACGTCCCAAACGGGCAAACATGGCACATTTGATCTTGCAGTAAGCCGGCCCTCCAGTCCGAGGCTGCTGGGAAGCCGCGCTTTTCTTGCTGTCTTCAATGTCTTCCGTTCACGGCCTGAAGGTGGACAACCTCTGCTACAACCCCGTGATTGCAGCTTGCGCAGCTTGCGCAGCTTGCGACACCGCCTGGGAGTTGGCTCTGGCGCTGCTGCACGGAATGCCCTGCACCTCCCTTGTGCCGGACGATTACACCCAGACCGCAGCCGCACCAGTTCTTGCGGCTAAAGGCTGGCGCGACTCCCTGACCTTGGCCGAGCGGTTTGGGCGCCCGTTTGGGGCCCTTTCTGGGTCTCCCTGGGAGCTGGCTTACGCAGGCATGGCGGCCGCAGCGGCCCGCCGGCTCCAGGTCCGAGAGGCGCCCGCCCTGGCGGCGCTCCAGAGCCGCACGGGGTCTGCGGGGTCTGCGGGGTGGCGCCGGATCCTGGACTTGGTGACGGCCTTGGTCTGCTCGCCTTCTTTACAGCTTGGGGTCGTCACATTTACGGAAGGTGTGGCCGGCACTGCTGGGGCATCCTCGGGCAAGTGGGAGCAGGCCCTGCAGCTTGCAGAGTGGTTGCTTCAAGAAGGAATCGACGGAATCGAGTCCTCGGTGATCACGCAGAGCTCCGTCATGGCTGCCGTCGGTGCAAACGGGGAGAAGTGGCGTAAGGCGCTGGCGATTTTTCGGACTTGTCAGACCTCTCAGAGACTTCAGCCGGATTCGGTGTCTTACTGCATCCTCTCCAGCAGCTTTGGGGAAGCCGGCGAGTGGGGTAGAGCCTTGCTCTTGCACTACCGGGAGCGCACTCTGCAGACTCTGCAGTTGGCTAGTTTTCGGACAGTCATCACAGCGTGCGAGAGGGGCTCTCAATGGCAGTGTGGACTGGAAGTCTTAGAGTCTTTGCAGGCTGCCGGCTTCGGGGACATCAACAGTGCCCGCGCAGGAATATTTGCATGCTGTAACAGTACAGGGATGCACAACGTCATAAGATCCTCAGCTTGTACAAACGAACTCGGTCAATCTGTCACTGAAGCCCACAGTTGCAGCTTCCGAGGTTGCAGCGCAGCGATCAGTGCCTGCGAGAACTGTGGAGAATGGGAGGTTGCCTTGGAGCTTTTGAACGCCATGCTCAGACAAGAGCTTCGACCAGATAGCTTCAGTTGCAGTGCGGCAATCAGCGCGTGTGCATCCAGCGGCAATTGGCAGGTGGCTTTGCAATTGATGGCATGCATGAGTGACTGGCAGGTCACTCTGAATGGGATATGCCTGACTGCTGTTATTAGCTCCTGCCGCGTTTCTGCCCAATGGCAGCTGGCATGCAATCTGCTCCAGAGAGTCGTGCTGCACGCCTTTGATTTTGACGAGATTGCTTGCACAGCGAGCATGGGTGCATGTGGACAAGCCAGCCACTGGCAGCGTGCCAGTCAACTTCTGCCATGGCTGAAGGGCTTCGGCCTTCACCAATCTGAATTCGCGTTTGGAGCTGCCATTGGCGCTTGTGCCAAGGGTCAAGTGCACGCACAGACTTGATGTCTGGATGTTCTGTCGTTTTTCCTGTAGCACGTTGTGCCAATGTTGCACCGTCGTCTGGGTTTGTTGGCGCAGCCTGACGTGGTTCACCAGAGATTAGGAATGCTTAAGTCATCGTTTTGCACAAGGCCACAGACCTTGCTGGGATTCAGATCTACCGCGCTTTGCTGCAGCCCGGCCCCCCAAAGTGGCACCGTCGTTGACACCGTGTGCAGTGCGTCTTCAAGCTGTGGTCGCAGCCCTGCAGGTGGGGCAGACAGGATACAAGCAAGCCTCGCCAGACCCGCACACCACTTGAGCCTGTCGTGGGCTTGAATGTCGGCACTTGGTTCACCGCTCAGTTGATGCAAGTCGAGCTAGGCAGTCGAGTTTAGCTTCTCTTCATCAGGCCTGTCTGGAGTCTGGACCTTCCTCTTCCCTTCCAAGGAACTACTGCAGCACGCCGGCACAAGAAGCCAACCAGGCGCATCCTGTTTTGTGTCACGACAATTCAGAAGAGCGGATCGGGAGCGAAAACATGGCCATCCGCCCTTCCAGTTGAGGCTGCACCTGACGACTCCATTCCGATCCCAGACCTGTCCATGGTTCCCAGAGGCCCCCCCCCCCCCCTCGCTTGACAAGTGCACCATGGGCGGAGAAGCCGGCTTGAGGTCCAGAGACTCTTGGTTTTGGGGTTCGTGGCCCTTGTGGCGATGTGGAGTCCTCAGATCCTTTCACCCCTGGCCCTCTTTACGGTTGCAAGAGGGCCAGGGGCAGGACATCGGATGCTTCGGAAAGCTGCAAGAGTTACTCGCAGTTACTCCCGTGACAGATGCTCCGTAGTCATTGTATGAGCAGGTCTCACCGGCTGTGCCAAGCTCTCCGAAGCCCTGCCAAAGCTCCAGCCCGACGATCCCGCAGCGGTGGGGGCTCGGATCCGTTGAGGGCTATAGTGGCTAGGCCACAGGCTCCCAAGAACAAAACATCTCCGTGTCTCCGTGTTCCCAGGTCGGATTTCACTCCGGTCGGGCACCAGCAGGCCGCAGACGTACAGGAAAGCTTCGGCTGAAACACCATACAGCATTGCCAAATAGTGTGCATCTTTCACGTGAGATAAGCCGTAAAGGAACGATTGCACGGTCAAGGCGCTTGCGTGGTGATGGTGGTGCCTAGAATGCCTAGAAGAACTATACCACGATTAAGGCAATGTAGATATGTGAATCATGAGATTCCGTTGCCAGGCCACTTCGCTGATTTATGTGTCGTGCTCCCGTCAGGACATTGGGCAAGCCACTGTGCACGAGAGCCTGGAAACTACCGCAGCCGAGCCCGTCGTGATATCCTTGGCCATGGCCTTGTAGCGCTTCGAATCATCCTGAGTGGGGTCACCGGTTAGGCTTGCACTGGTTCGTCCGACTTGCATCCAGCTCCATTGCCTAGCAAATCCAGGCTGAGACAAATCACAGAGCCCCAAGTCCAGGTGGGACAGCAAGGGCTTTCAATGCTTTGACAGAATTCTTCTTCATTTCAGCATGCCTGAGGTTGGGATTTTCTCGACGAGCTGCTTCCCACTGCGTCTGCATTGGTCTCCGCTTCGATGCTTCCCTTCCCCACTGCGCAGGTCTGGGGCTTAGGGGGGCGTATGGCGCTGAGCCACACATTGCCTTGAAGATGCGCGCGCGCGCGCGCGCGCGCGCGCGCATGTGCAAAGGGAATGCATCAGGCCCCCCCACTCACAGCCTCACAAGCTCGAGCAGATTCTGTTGCAATGCAAGTCCTGAAAAATCGCACTGGAGGAGGAGACCACGATTGTTGCGTCGCAGGCGGGCTTAAAATCAGATGCATTCTTATTCTTCTCCTTTGCCGCACAGAGAAATGGAGCCGGGCTCGGCGTGGCTTGTGGCCAGGGAGCTGGAGGACCCGGAGCTGGAGAAGCCGGAGCCAGGCCGAATCCCCGAGCTAGTAACAGGGCTTGCACCAGGATGCGGGTGCTTGGAGGTCGGATTTCGGTGACATGGCCATCCTTGCGGATGCCTTCGCTTACCGGAAGGGCCTTGCACGCGTCCTTGCCCAAGCACCGTCCACCACAGCCATCCTTGGCGCGCCTCCTGCAGTTCAATAGGCAAGGAAGATGCGATGATTCTTTAGTATATTCCAGCGACACTCGTATTGAGGCGATTGGGGCTTGGCAGAGCGCAGTGCAACAAGAGCATCGGTTGGCTCGGGAGCTCCAGAGAAAGCAGGCCCAAGTTGGTGCTAGTGCTGAAGTATTGCTCTGCATATGATATGTAAATACTTATATTATATGATCTTATGTTGTGTGTGTGTTTGTGCTTTGAATGAGGCTTCCAAGATTCAGACAGGTGTTGTGCATTTTCAGGCCCTGAGGCGTTGGCATCAGAAGACGGCGCCTGGACCTCGGGAGCTGTGATGCACCCTATCAAGCCTTCAACGGCCGCAAAAAGCACCAAAGGCTGACCAAGCGCTCTAATTCCTAAATTTCCAACGTACAAATCCTATATAGACCTTAAAAATTCACAGAGATCCGTTCAGGTCTGATGTGGCAGAAAGAGCCGCGGATCTGCAGCGGGCGGCTACAAGGCGTCGGAGGAGCCTCGAGTCGGGCTCCTATATTCACTCACGTGATGGACTCAGTCTATAGGAAGTCATCACATCTTATTCTATAGGTGCTTTGGGTTGTTGGCGGAGTGTAAGGAGCGGAGATGTAGATTTGCAGTCACCTGACCCATGATTGTAAACGCTTGCGCCGCCTCGGCAGCCGGGCCGGCCCAACACGGGCCACGCGGGGTGTAGCGTGCTGCGTGCGCATCGCAGATGAAGGAAAGCCAAAGTCACATGTCGCTTCGTGCGGTGCTGCACGCGTCATGAGCTTCTGTGGGGGGTCTTCAGGAGATTTAGGGTGTCGCAGAGGAGTCAAGGGAGTAGTTGGGCTTCAAACGGTTCGGGCAGGTCTCACCGGGCAGGGGGCAGGGGGCGGGGTCCACACATGTTACAGGCTTGGGAAGCGGGGTATGGAGACCAGATCTGGTTTGCTTGTACTAGACGCCTCTCGGCCAGTCTCGGCCGGACCCCGAGGCGAGTTCGTGACTTCGTTTGCATGAGGTTCCCAATTTGGCGGGGCGGTTGGTTTAGTTTAGTGACAGTGAACATTGGCAGTGGCAGTCTCAATCGTACGTCAGCGTCGTCCTCATCCTGCTTGTACTGGTAGTGTTAGAAGGAGTATAGTAGCAGTAGTCGTCGTGTTGGTGCTGGTCTGCAGCTCCGGTGTTCATGCATCGTAAAGGCCATCCGTGGTCCTGGTGCTGCTGGTGGTGCTTGTGTTGCTGGAATGGAATTCTGCAGCTCAGGTGCGGCCTCGAGCAGTGGCAGCTTACGCTGACCGCGCGGCGCCGATTCCGAGCCGGCTGGTCCCAGCTGCAGGGGCCTGGGCCCTGGAGCTCCAAAAGGGCGGTTCCGGGCCATGTGTTGGAGGGATGCCAGTTGGAAGTTGAAGAAATACGTAAGCTGCAGGGACAGGAGTTATCATCAACTGTGTCTTCTTGAGGATTCGTGTTCACCTTTCTCTCCGACTTTGGAGGTAATTGCTTATTTCAAGCTGCGTCTGCTTGGGAAGTGCCGTGTGGAGTTATGTTGTCAGGGCGTTTGGTTTGTCCTTGCCATGGCTTGGCTTGTGGTGGCCATAGTTGTCTAAACCTGCATCCGCTTGGGGTTTGCCGGGATTGGTGTTGACGGTTGATTTGGACTGATCATCGTGTAGAACAGCATCTGCAATATCTTCCAAGTCTCGGTCGCATCGCGCTGAGCAGTGCCCGGAAGTTACTGGGACCCTCTCGCCGCTATGCATTCCCTCAGAACTTCTCTGCTTGGATTGCAGATGGTATGACTGCGATACAACTCGTGCGGCTTGGGTTGCTGTGCGTCACCCAGGCTCCAGCGCCGGCGTTGTATGAACTTCGCTTTCTGCTGCTGGCGCTTGCCGGTCGATGCCTCATAAGAGAGTCCGCAAAGAGCGCAAAATATTCCTGGAACACCTAGCTATGTGATTGCATCAAGTTGCACTGGTGGCCATTGCGCCGCCTTGTGCACGTCTGTCAGGTCGAGTCTGCCCGGCTCTGAGAGTTTCTTGAGGACTTTTCGGGATCTCTGGGGGGGGGGGGGATGATATCGATGGGTCTGAGGCCAAACAGCAGCTGGCACAGGCCATGTTGCGAGCGCGTCACCGCGTGTTGCAGGCCTGGCGCATGTCTCTGAGTTGCTCTCCCCCTGTGCTCAGCTCACGACCCGCTCACGACCCTGGCCATAGGCATGTTGGAGCGGACTGCGTGGATATGCAGAGCAGCAGCAGCTCATGACCCTGTACCCTCCCAGTCGCAAGCAGGGTGCTGGAAAGACCTCTCCGCAGTGTACACTGTGATGCGCTGTGACGTACTGTGGATGGGTCGAAGGTACCGGAGCTGGGCGGACGTGCACTGGCTCCGCTCGCGGCTGGGAGCGGCATGGCAGGCGCGGGGCAAAGACCCCAGAGCTGTGGCTAGTCGATCGGTGTGATCACTCCACGCAGGCCTGGCTGCAGTGGTTTCGCAAGAGGGGGAAGGCCGGAATTTGCTGTGCCCCGCACATGTTTTTGCACACATTTGGAATGGTTATTCGAAAATATACTATTATAGTGAATATGCTGACAGCTTCTGGATGTGTTGTGAGGTGGTGGCCATGTGTAGCGCTCCACAGCTGCTGGCCGCCTGGCGCTGGCTGCGGGTTCACGCATCGCGCTCCGGGCACCTCGGGCGCGAGCCTCGGCCCCATGCCCGCCAAAGAGACGTCTTCCGTTTCAGCCGACTCAGAAGTTGCACGCGCAGTTGTCACTTCGACGACTCCGACTCACTCCACTGATGTCAATGCCAGGCCGCGCCCATCGAGCTCAGGACATGCCCAAGCTGCACAAGGCCGAGCATGGTCCATAGCCCAGGGGATTTGTGAAGGGCGCACATGGTGATGAAGCC